GTCATCAAAAATCTATTTTTAGAATTTCTCCATTTTTTTTAATTTTCGGGAAGTGCATCAAAAATAAAGTCAAAATGTCGAAAGCCAATTGAATATGTTAAGTATTGGCTGAGATATGACCACCTGAATAAAAAGATTTCCTATAGGAGCTCAGTGTTATATTGCTCTGGCTCATAACTTTACGAGCCAGAGCAATATTTTTTATGATGTCACTGCTTCGGTACTCTATATAATCATCCATCCTCAGTACATTGGAAATAATCTAAACTGTTCGTTCCAAACTCCAAAGGCATACCTTATGCGAATAATACCTATTTCACTTTACTGATGTACAATACTTGTATTGCGTTTTTACACAATTTCACAAAAAGAACAACATCATGTAAACATGTCTATAGTAACAAACAAACAAAATGAATGATAATATGAAAATCAATTAAATTCCATTTGATTTTGATTAGCAATTCAATGAGATAAAAAATAAAACTTCAATATGTAAAACTCAACAATTTAAGCAGAAACGAAAGCACATGAATGGTGTACATAATCTTTCCCAAAACATAATGATGATGCTTAAATCAAACTCAGTTTACAGAAAACTGAACGATGTTTGGTTGGCGCTATATATACTAAACGTACATTGGCTCTTTGATCAGGTTTATTGTAAATACAAGAGGGCAAGACTGGCCATAAACATGATAAATAATCTAAACTTCAAGTTTTTTTTAAAGACAAACTTCAATTAGTGTCCTCTACTTTCTCCTGGATTTTCCTGGATAGATGCGATCACCGTACTTGTCTTGGCTGGCCATTAGGATGGGCTAAAAGATTATGGCCTATACGTACGGCCATCGAGTTTCTTCGAAAGCTGCTTTATGATATTCAGGGGATGGGTGGAGGACGTCCGGCCTCTCTCGCCTGGCTGGCTGGCTTGTTTTGGCCGGGCACGAGATTGAGTCATGTTAGCGAGTAAAACGCAGGTGGCTTGTCTAGATCTGGATCGATCCCCCATGGTTACATGCATCCTTTGTGTTTAGCTTGAGAGTTACTTCAAATTCAAATTCAAATTCAAATTTATTCATGTTTCCAACAAAACATTACAAATCAATTATAAGCATTTAAAACAAATGTAAGAAATACATGTTGGAAACTTCGCAACCAGGGACTAGCTGGTGAAGCAGCTAGGTGAAAATTAATATCAGTCACCGATTCCTAGTCTACCTCGGCTAGTTGATCGGGACGATAGGTTGCAGTGTCATACGGTGGTGGGTTCGCATCTCCCCTCATGACGCCCGACGTGTTCACCTCAGTGACTGTCTCGTAACCAGGGGGTGGATCGACGCCGCTGTTCCCGCCTTGCCCTGACCGATCATCAGAAGGAGATAACGAATCATAAGCAGGCGGGTTGTCCGCATCGGTTTCCATGGTGATGTCCAAAGATCCATCCAAGTCATACAACGCACTCAAATATGCCAGGGAAGAATCATCTTGGTATATCTCCGTCGAGGAACCATTGGGATAGTCCACGGCTCGTCGATAGGAGGGAGGTGAGATATCCGGTAGACTTGAATGTACATCACCATTGGAACTACCGAAATGTGTCCTCCAGGTACCGGCGTCACAATACATCACACCGGGTAGGTCGGGTTCGCGTTCGCTCGATTCATCTAGCATAGCTCCCGGGCAATATCCAAAATACACTAGAATACAGTAGAATAATAAAGAACACACCGACATCCCAAGAGGAAGAACAAGGAAATACATAACACTAAGATATGAGTCATATCTATAGCAAAACACACGTATCCAAGACGCATATGGGTAGGTGGAGTTCAGAGAATGTTCCAACAAGAGATACACATCATTTCCTGATGGTGCATCGAGTTCACAGTAGGCATCAGCATCGGCCGTGCAATTATCTATCGGGTTTGTCATTTCCAACAAATGTTTGGTAAATTGAATGTCTAGGATAGCACTAAAATCATCTTCATCACTTTTGCGTCCGATTCCCAATAAGAAATACCATGTTCCATCCGAGAATCCACTTGTATTGAACGAGACTGTGGTCATTGTCGGACATGGAGGAAACTGGGCATAGAGAATGACGTCAGACGATTCTGGGTCTTGTTCCTTCGAATTCAACCATTTCTTCATTTTCCCGTAATTATTAAAGATAGGAATAGTCAATGTAGTATCATCACTATTCAATTCTTGTCCGCAGCTTGTAACGTCAACACGCGATGAGCTTGGAAGATAATATGAGAGGTTTCCAGTTTTAGGTCCTTCGAGATATATGTCTTCTGTGAAAGAATATGTAGAAGCATTTTTCGAGTATACTGGGCGATCACGTGATGTTGTTACTTGGACAATGATACCATCTTGACGACCATTCAGTTGAGGAAAGACCCTGAATCCTCGACAAAAGTGAGGTAGATTATCAGGTCGTTGTTTAAACAATATGTACGGTTTTTGTTTCTCCAACATGATTTGATCGCCTTTACTCGAAGCAACTTCTGGATAGTGAAAGAAAATGCATAGTAGAGCGAAGAGAAAGCTGAAAGCTATGAATCCAAAGCTTACAAAGTAATAGACAACATAATGCCATCGATTTTTAAAACAAGTCATCCTTGCAATAGACACTAGTCAATATGATATGTGTTGAAATATGGTTTCTCCTTATAATATATATATATCTAGGATACCTCCTAACCTTGAAATTGTTTATGTGTGTAACTGTTTCATTTTTAGCTCGTTGATCTTCGTAGTGGAAATGGTGGGTGGAATTTGGACTCTGATATCATCATCAGCAATAAATTGACAGCTATAGTCACGTGGCACGGATATTAACTATAATGACGTCATAGATACAAATACATGTATAGTAGGGTGGAAAGGAAGGGAAGCGAGTGATGTTTCATTTTTGCCTCGTTGATCTTCGTAGTGGAAATGTTGGGTGGAATTTGGACTCTGATATCATCGTCAGCAATAAATTGACAGCTATAGTCACGTGGCAAGGATATTAACTATAATGACGTCATAGATACAAATACATGTATAGTAGGGTGGAAAGGAAGGGAAGCGAGTGATGACAAAGTTAATGATCAGTTCACAACAAGCAAACAAACACATCATGTAGTAATAGAGGGAGATGATAATGCACGAGCTCAGGGCATACAAGTCGGCATTATACAGCTGTCGCATATAAAACTTCATTACCTTCCCCCCCCCCCCCCCCCTCTTTATTGACAAATATATAATTTAGATAATGTAGTTTTTATGTATATGTATTGTATTGTATATGTATACTGTATATCTACATCACCATGCAAGCCGACACTTACAAACAGCATCTAATGTAGTTTTTGTATACAATCACTGGAGACGGACTTTTACACAAGGCCCGGTCTCCCCGTCTTTCATTATTAATATACATGTACATGTTTAGCCCCCCCCCCCCCCCTTGTTCTTGTTTTCTCCGCTTGTGTTATACTCATGTTATACATGCATAATTTGTTTACTTTTATATTTGTTTTCCTTTGTACATTTTTTAATGAAAGCATTGAATAAAGTGAACTTGAACTTGAACTAGTGTAATCAATAAAGAACTGCAAAACATTAAAACTCCTTTCTTCCAAGAACCATAGTGGAATAAGTCAACCCTTTGAGATGACGACAAAGGTTTTTCTTTTACTAGATAGGTTTAAAGTTCCCCTTTCAAATTCCCAATAATTTATCATCATCTGCACCCCAAAGTGTCTTCTGTTGGCATGTGACCCATGCCATTACATAAAACACCATACAGTAACTTTGACCCACCGGTAACGTACTGTGAGGTCAGAAAGTGTCGACACTGTAAAAAAAAATCCTTTTGGTTCAAGATGGACCTACATTGGTAAACACACGCTTCCTCGTTTCTTGTAGTAGTAGCGCCGTCCCTTTGGAAGGGGTTGGCGGCTATGCACCTCCAACGCTTGCTGTCATGTACCCTTGTTCTAACCTCTCCGTCCGTAGTTAAGACCAGTCCATTACTTTACATCATCAAACCAAGTGGTTCACTGTCTCCCCCTTTCTCGTTTACCCTCTACCATTCCTTCCAGCAAGATCTTCTGCAATCCTCCTCTCATCACATGACCAACACACACTAGTTTTCTCTTCTGCACTGCGTTTAATCAGTTCTCTCTCTTTGTTTGCTCGGGACTTTTCTGTTGCTAATTTTCACCACCCAGCTGATTTATGCTTTTAACTTTTGTTCTGTTTCTTTAGTACCACTAGGCCTACTTGTACTTCATTCAGAAATTGACTTCTCTTGTAAATTTTAAAGTAGCAGCAGGTTGCCACATTTTCTTCAATTTGCACACCTATAAATACACATTCTCCCCCCTCTCATAGAACTTATCCCGTTAGCACTCACATGTTGCAGTATAATACCATGCACACAGCAATAAGCAACCAAGACACTTTTACGCATACATGTACAATGTATATGCACATCATCGTTTGGATAGGAGTATATACAGTTAAACCTGCTTTAGTGACCACCTGTCTACAAAGGCCACATTTGTTGTTTTCCTTGAAAATGGTTTCTCATTGAATCATGTACTAAAGGAACCTGTCTACAAAGGCCACTTTATGTGTTTCCCTTGGGCGGTCGCTATAGACAGGTTTGACTGTATATATTATACAAGGACTAAAAATTCATCCATCATACACTTTCATCTTCTTCACACACTAAAAAACACATGCGTAGATCCTTTTGGAATCACACCAGTGCTTTCTGCCTTTCAGCTAAAAATTAGACCTCATTCACAGTACACACAAAACACTCTCATCATCAAACGTCATTATAAAGAGCTCTAAATGTAACTTATATTGCTCTTACAACGAGGTGATCTTGCTGGTCCCAGCTCTTTATATTCTTTTATAACAAAGTAATCATCTTCATCTTCACACGATCTTAGGATTACAAACACTAGAAGAAGGAGGCAAGAAAAATGTTGAATTGAGTTCACAAAACCCTTTCTCATGTTTCTTTATTTGATTGGAGAACAATGTGCAGATGCTTCAAGCTTCATGTATGGCAAAATGTAATAAGATTGAGCTACATCACAGCAAATGTGTGACAATTTTCTATTTTATGTGTGGGTGATGAAGTGGGTATTTCATGTGCATAAAATGAAACATGAAATATGTAAAGTACTTTATAAATCGAGTTCTTGTGAGCTTTTGGAAACAAATATAACAGTTGATACAATGTTTCCAGAAAATTTCCATCGTATTCCAATTTGCCATTTTACAAATTATGCCCTTTCAAATCACACATGTGATGCCATTCATGAGGCATCTGACGAGGGATGCAATGGTGTTCTTATGAGCTGACGGCCCAGTCGTTGGTGGCAGCACCACCCCAGTCATCGGTAGACCAATCCTGGCTAGGTGCTGCAGCAGCAGGAGCAGCAGCCGCAGGAGCTACAGGAGCTGCAGGAGCATCAACGGAGCCCCAGTCCTCGGAGGGGAAAGCTGCTGGGGCTGCGGCAGGGGCAGCGACCTTGCTGGCATCATTAGCCCACTGCAGCAAAGATACAAATACAAACATACATTAAAATAAATAAATAATAAAAATAGAGGTCGGTCTCCTCAGTGTAACCGATGTATCAATCAAATTGGATTATTGTTTTATTTTCATTGAATACTAATGAAAATATAGATTAGACATATAAAGCTTTCGATAGAAAAGAATAAGAAATCACGTAGAATTTATTAGAATACATCTGGGATTTATATAGTGCTTCAAAATACATGCTTGCCTATATTCTAAAAAGCCTTTGGTATGAAAGAACCGAGGAGTGGACTCCCATTCATTCAGAGCCGAGTACTCTAGCCTTGAGATTCAACGGTTCTGAGAGTAATTTCTGTTTTTATCATAATACATAAGAGCCTTGGAATCAGTCCCAGAATGTACTGTCAATCATATCAGTACTGATCTCAGCTACGTGATTCTGCTCTGCACAATAATGAAGCCAGCCAGCCTGCAGCAATCAACATGTGAAGGCACTTCATTGTGTAAATCCATGCAAACCAAGTTCCTTTATCAGCGTGTGTGTGTACATCGCTGGTAATAGCGCATACAGCAGCGATTATTCTAAAGCTTTGCTAAAGCAAGAGTCTAAGATAAACAACAGAATCTACCAGCACGAGAATCAAAGAGAGAGAGAGAGCGCGCTACATGCTGGATGTACATATACAACTGGGAAGGGTGCTCGATTAAGAACGATCCTATAATAGTATTTTTCAAACGGAATCTGGAGGGTGGAGCAGACTCGAATCTGCGTGGAACGGAAGTACACTGTACATACATTGTATGTGTATAGCTTTTAGTTCATTGCGGCTTCATTTACATGTATCTGGCAGCCAGTGGGAGTCGACCATGAGTGGCAACCGGAGTTGGTTCTTGGAACCAAAAGAAGCACCCAAGCCTGATTTGAATGAAATGTTTACCTGTTGTTGAGGTGGGGCAGGAGCTCCAGCTACCTTGTTAGCATCAGCAGCCCACTGTAAGGATATAACAATCACAAATCATGTCACACATACAATACAAAAGAAAGGACTTCTTAACTTTTATTTCATACCTCAGTCATGTCACCCAACCAACTCCAAACTGAATCAAGACCAGACCTACTGATACCGGGCCAAGCTATGCAAAGGAATGTTGTCTGGTCTTGTTCTTATCGGTGTGACTGAAGTATGCAAGATGCTGATTTTGGATTGATCAGTTTGATTTGAGTAATTTTTTACTTTCATAAAATACTGACAAGAATCTATGGATACAAAATAACTGCATCAGATCGACTGAGGTTACTGGGTGATCCAAATCATCCAATATGTGCTCTGCCAACATTTGCTCTAGCTTTAATTTACCAAATATAGTCCCCCCCCCCCCCCCCCCCAAAAAAAAGAAGAAAGACTGAAATAATGTTGAAGGTCTCTTCCTTCAGTTGTATTTTCAAATGTTCTTTCGACGGAGTATACACACCCAACAAAGATGAATGTGTATTCTTTTTGTCAATGAATTACTCTACCTCATAGCTTACTAAAATGTCCTGAGAATGTCAACATTTTATCAGAAGCCTTGAGGAACCTGATGGTCGATAAAGAAAATCAGTGAAGATTCTTTCTCACGCAAAATCAAATCAAAATATAAATCTTCCTTTATTTTAGCTTTTAGATTTCATTTGTTTAAATCTCCCTTTAATTTTGTCCCAATCCAATGACATTTCTATTCTCCAAAAACTTAATGGATATTGTCAACTATAAATATAAATATAAATCTTCCTAAAATCAGTTTTTAGATTTCATTTGTTTAAATCTCCCTTTAATTTTGTCCCAATCCAATGACATTTCTATTCTCCAAAAGGATATTGTCAACTGTATGTACATGCACAAATAGACAGGAGAGAATAACCGCTGTTTAAAATTGAGCGCAAGAGTACTTACGTCAGTGACATCTGGCACACCCACTGGTTGACCTCCTGCTGGTACAGCGACGGGATCAGAACCCCACTGTTCAGCGTAAGGCTGAGCTGGCTCTTCCTTCACAGCCACAGCACGATCACGGGCTTCTTGCTCCTCCTTCTCAGCCTGAAAACATAACAAGAGTTATCAAGGAGTTATTACAATGAACAATTAATTGCTGCTGGTACAGCTATGGGATCAGAACCCCATTGTTCTGCATAGTGCTGAGCTGGCTCTTCCTTCCTGTTTTTCCAATTTCATTCAAACTTTCAAAAATACTTCTCTGATTTTGTTCTGCTTTGATTCAAAGCAACTGGCTCTGAGGGTTGGAGTTCCTTTGACAGAGGTTAGAGGACGGGTCTATGCAACACATCCCCTTGATATTTATCTTGTAATATGAAAAGTTCTTGATAAACACCAGACTATTGGTTCTTCCTTATATCAATCCCATTCTTCAAATATGGTACAGTGTGTTTTCATTTTCAGTGACAGAAGCAGATCATCAACAACATATAAAGTAGAGGAGGTGCGATAGCTCATTTGGTAGAGCAGTGGTCTCGTAATCCGGTGACCAGGGTTCGAAAACAAGGTGATGTGCTAGTGCCCTTTGGTAAGGCATTAATCCGCATTACCAGGTCTCCCAGAGAGGACCTAAAGCCGTCGGTCCTTTGGTTGCTTACTAACAAGCATTTCTGCTTTCTTAGCAGTCAGGTAAAATCGTCCTGAAATGAAAGTAGTTCCAATCTTACCTCTTCAGGATCCCTGAAGAAGTAGAGATCCACCATGATCTCCCAGGTGACATCACGGCTGATGGCTCCACGGAGACGGAGTACCTCACGGGACAACATCCACCACATCAGACCGATAGAGTGGATGCTCTGATAGGAGAGACAGAGACAGAGAAAGAAAGAGATAGAAGGCCGAATTAATAGGCATCTTAAATGTCAATATTTTTTCTATATATGTATCAATGATTTTATAAATACCTCTTGACAGTGGGGTAAATCACTATGAGGGCAGTTACTGGATGATCCAAATCACCCAATATGTGCTCTGCAGACATTTGCTTTGGCTTTAACAAATAAAGAGCCCCCCCCCCCCCCCCCCCCCCCCCCCCCGGAAAAAAAGACTGTTGAAGTCTCTTCCTTCAGTTAAATTTTCCAATGTACTTTCGACGGAGTATACACACCCAACAAAGATGAATGTGTATTCTTTTTGTCAAAGAATTACTCTACCTCATAGCTTACTAAAATGTCCTGAGGATGTCAACATTTTATCAGAAGCCTTGAGAAGCATGATAATCAATAAAGAAAATCAGTTAAGATTCTTTCTCACGCAAAATCAAATTAGGATTGGATCGATTTGTGAAAATGTAAATCCTACTAAATTTAGTTTTTAGATTTTTTTTTAAAATCTCCCTTTAATTTTGTCGAAATCAAACAACATTTACATTTTTATTTTTCCAGACGATTTGTCTGGAACATTAAAAAACTAAACAAGAAAAACCAATCAGTGGGGTAAATCGCTAAGGGGCTGTGGGATGAAGATGATTGGTGATTTGTAATATGGGGATTACAGATTAAATGTCAGACAGGAGCCCCTAGATAACTAAATTAATCTTAGACTGCATGCAGTAAAAAATAATGCCTCTGCCGTAGAACTTTTTAACAAACTCCAGGCATTTCAAGAAAAATTTGAAGATCTGATGTATAAGTCACAGATTTGGGGTTAACGCATGAATATGGGAGTATATTCAAGAAATCTGCATGTTTTGGCAACACATTTGACTGATGTTTGTCCTACAAACTTTGTTGTTGCATGAGATAGGGATGGCCACATAGCAAAGAGTTATATTAATTCAAAGAGTGAAAACCTGAGCATGTGACAGTTTAGGTTAATGTAACAAATTGGGAGATTTAACAACATTTTGCATGATTAGACAGAGTGTTGTCCTACATACCTTGTTGTTGCATGGGATAGCGATGTCCACGTGACGAAGAGGAGAGTCACTGTTACAGAGAGCAATGACTGGGATGTTGACGTATGAAGCCTCAGTGACCGGCTGATGATCAGAGCGGGGGTCTGTCACGATCAAGATACGTGGCTCACGGAAAGCAGCTTGGATCTGATTGGTGAATGTACCGGGCGTGTAACGGCCAGCCACGGGAGTGGCACCGGTGTGGGCACCAAACTTGAGCACGGCACGCTGAAAAGAGAAACCATGAAACAAAATGCAGAGTTACAATACACTATATCACAGTCACACAAGGATTATCTTCTGTTAAATACCAGTACATACATGTACATGAAGGTTCATAGATCAGGAAATTGAAAGTGAGCAATTTCTTTCCTCACTGTTACCACTCTTAAATAATTATTTATCCTCCAACTCATCAACTTGATTGAACAGCACATAGAGAGGGCTGGTTTAACTCGGTAATGTTTTGTGTGTGCCTAGGTGTACTTAATGAAAGGCAAGTGGGGGCGAAAAATGTAGCCATGTGCAAAAAATGGTACTATGCTTACTCACTTATTTGTTTGTTATCAGATGCAAAATATTAGATTATGCCAAGTACTCTTGAAAAAAAAACCTACGGTCAACCAACGCGGTTTACCACGGCATATGTGAAAAAGCCTTGACCACTTGAAAGGTCAGCAAGTAACCTACCTGGCCGTATGGTCGAGACGAGATGACACAGACATCAGCAGGGTTCTCTACGGCTACGATGATACGTGCAGCCAGTAGAAGCTTCTCCCAGGTCTTCCTCAGATTGATGATGAAACTCCCTGTCACGATCAAAAATAAAGGATTAACCAATTAGCAACTAGAGAGTTTGTAAAAATGGCCTATTACTCACTGGAAGATGTTGCAATAATATTATTGCTCTCATTTTGACATTGTTCTGAACAGTATAAAACATGCGCTATTTTTCTATGCAGAATCCTACTGTATACACGTATAACTAGCTTACGTATAACATTATCACGTTAGTCCCTAGAATGGGATACTAAAGCGCATTGAAAACGGATGAGATTTTGAGAGTTGTGGTTTTTAAGATGATGATTTCCAGCAAGTTCTTGTGAGGTTGTTTTTATTTTACTTGTTCAAACAATCAATCTACTGCAGGATAAACAATCCAGAATGTATAGCCATGTTCTCTCGACATAAGATGCCCATACCAGAGCTCAAGATTAGCTTTAACACCCTTCTGAGCATCTGGCTCACAACAGAAAATTGAAACAACCCCGCATTTCTGCGAGTGCACTTAATATCAGGGATGCCAGTCAGAGTTGATCAGAGGGCCTGAAAATCACCTAGAATGAGCTTTTTTGTACACAAAAAGCCTAAACTATGGTCTGAAAATAACTTGCCAGGGCCTGAATTCAGGCTATTGCCTGAAAACTGGCATCCCTGTAATATGAATTTTTGATGTTAAATTTGTGAAGGTTCACAAGGTAAAGTTTCCCAGTATGTGTCTTACTTACCATCTGGTTTGCGCTTGTAGATGTAAGGGGCCATCTTGTAGTCCATGTTGCTGGAGCCGATGTGAGCTCCGCTAGCAAGAAACTTCTGCACGTCATCCTCCTTGAGGGCTAAACATTCCAAACCTCCGGACATTGTTGCTGCTGATCTGGTAAACGATGGTGATCAACCTAGGGAGAAAACAAAACAGAAAATACTTTCATAATAACGATACTAATAGTGGGTTCTTGTATAGCACTCATGTCTGTCAGACTTGACACTCCTGGCGCTCATGTTCAAAGTTATTTTGGATTTTAAAGAGAACATTTTATAATAACTTCTTTTGATACCATCTGTTTGGAGCCAGAGGAGTGTTGACCAATATCATTTTACATAGAGCTATATTATATACCCTTCTGTCTTCAAAGATGTAACATATTTTAGGGTTATATAGTCATAGACAATGTATTAGTACAAGTACATCTTCAATTTTTTTTTTTTTTTAAACTTTTTTCTATTCATTACAACAACCTTATCAGAGGTAAATTGTTCTGTATTTCACAGAATCTCGATAAAATGCAAGATCAAGAGCTGAATGTAGGCTTCTGAAAAAATTAATGGGAGAAACCAAGATTGCCTCTAAGAAAAACATCGCTTTTTTAGACAAGAAAATGTTTTAAATGCAAAATCAAGACAAATTTCTTCAATTGTTAAGGTAAAGTGTATGGATTTTTAATGATAGAATAAATCTCGGACTTGCTATTCAAAACTCATTTTGTCGGTCTTATTCAAGATACAAAAATTAATTTTATTAAATGCAATAATAATGTAACTGAAATTCAGCCCAACTCAGATGGTAGTGCATGTAAAAGAATTTTTTCTCATAGTTTGACACTCAAAACAGTGAGGTATCATCATTGAAAGGCTGATTTCAGACTATTAAAAGAATACTTGTATTTATCCAGGGATGCCAGTGGCAAATGGCTCCAGGGCCTGAAATTGTTTGAAGAGTTCAAACAATGTGCGCATCATCCTTCATGCAACGTTTAAAATCTTAATTAGAAGTTAGAGATCTATTTTTGCATGACAAGTTTGACATGTTTTACGAACATGTAGATCTACATAGCAACAATCATTTTGAGTTTGTTCATAATTATGATAGATCTATGCCTGGCATTTTCATGAAGCAGTCCATCGCTCATTCACATCACTCCAGTCTCTACACAGAAGAGCTCCAATGCATACAACTCTCTCCACCCCCATTGATTTTGCTGTAACCAAGGGTAACAACGTGTATGTGACCGAGCGTTACAGCATGATGACATGCAAGCAGTAGGGGCACCGGTCCGAGAATAAGCGCAGACAAACCGCGTTCTAAAAAATAAGGTTCGTTCACATTTAAGCGGACGTTTTTTTTCTTCGGGGCTCTGCGGGTATGGGGTTCCCTATCTGTGTGCTGGCAATGAGAAAAACAGATTCCCCATTATAAAATACCCCCACCCCAGTTCAGTCTACTTTCATGGGTTGTCCGTCTTCCCAAGGATTTAATCGCTCATAGAGTAAAGTACCCGGTAATCGGTCAGCTCCGGTTTTCGGCCAATTGGTTGGATACATGGTAAAATCACTTTAAAATACATCGCATAATAGCATAACACATATCCCACACATACCATACCATGCCATTGTCACTGAAGAACCACATTTGCAATGAAAAATATATCCTAAAATATCACATTTTAGCGATGTAATCGGCGGTCCCGCTACCCAAATCTGAAAAATCGAGTTTCTTACGCGTGTATGTAAGAAATATGGGTACCATAAAATGAGCTTTATTTCAAGTATTTTTCAGATATAGAGCCCGATTTTGTGCTGGTCGCACGCTCAAAAGTATCTCATCGCATGTATTAAATCAATGCAGCCGCACACCGCGACGCACACACGATATGTCCGTCTAATTCAGATTCCAACTTCCGATCACCGCTGTGCCTGTATTCGGCCAGGCGAGCACCCGGGAGCTCCGGCGTGGGATACCTGCTCCGCCCGCTTGTGCTATACATCAGCGCAGAAACGCACGGCGCGCGCGAGCGCTTCCTATTGACTTTGTACATGCGGCCGTAAACTGAAACGCTCGGCCGATAACCGGCTCCAAAACAGTGAAAATTGAAATGAATATTGTCATGGCAATTCGTGATTTTTTTTTGGGATTCTTTTTTTGTTTAAATAATAATAATATTTGCTTCATGATTTGAACAAGAAATGATAATAAATAGGAAGTAAAGAGTCCAATAAATAGGATTTTGTCTTAAGTGGCCGAAAACCGGGTAGATCTACTTTACTCTATTCATAATGTCTCTGTACAAAGTCAAATAAGGTATTGTCCACGGACAGTCCTAATTTTTAAGGACGGGTTTACGAAGAGGATCCTTGCTTACGCGGACGATTCCTTATTCTCGGACCAGCCCCCCAAACCCAGGGTTCTTGTTAATAGCCGGCAACCGGCTATTTTTTCCGGCTGTAACGGCAATCGTAGCCGGCTGTAAGCCTCTCCAAAAAAAAATAATAATAATACAAAAATCACATCATATTCGGTCAAGTCGCTATCTCAAATTTCTGTTATCACAAGCTTCACGAAGACACGCTTTCATAGCGCGGGGTTGTGAAAACGGTCGTAAAGAAATGAGATGAAACGTCTCCGAAACGATCGTAAAATAAAACCCTATTAAAATATGGACTTGCGGCGCGGCGCACGCGGGGGCAGAGCTATCTAGTATATGCCCAGTGCGCCAGAGCCAAGCGCAGGCCGGCAAGCTAGCTTACGCAAGAAAAGCGCGCGTTGTGAGCCGAGCTGAGCTAGCTGAGTGAATTTATCTCCGAGATCGCACGCCAGTCGAATTAAAATGGAATCGAAACGGCAGACATCGATGTCTTCCTTCCTTACACATTTTAAAAATTCCATGACTCTCCATGACTTTCCAGAGCAGGATAATGTAAATTTCCATGACCATTTTCAATGATGAACATGTCTTAATCTAAAGCGTACAACTATACATCATCGCAATACTAGGAAGCAAATTACAAAACTGTAAGGCGCACCCCTATTTCGAAGATAAAAAAAAAAAAATCTAAAAAAAAATCTGAAAAAAAATCTGGGAAAAAACAACAACATTGTTACTAGACCTAGGTCTAACTTAGTTCACAAGCACTTCAACTGTGCCTTGTATAATGAAAAGTAAAAGTATTTTTCGAACACTGAAATAAGACGTGATCTGATCTGGTTAACAAAAAGCCACCAAAAAAAAAGCCAACATTGGTCATTTTGTTAACATCAGATCGGCTCTTATTTTAGTGACAGCGTTCGAAAATACTTTCATTGTATTACGAGGCACAGTTGAAGTGCTTGTGAACTAAGTTAGACCCATTTAACAATGTTGTTTTTAAAACTAAAGATGACAGAATTTTCCTTCGAGTCCAAACAGAAATGTGGACAGGCTAGTTTTCACGTGGTGATTCGTTATCCCCTGTGTAAGTGAGCTTGCATCATACAGGTGAGTGAGCTGGAGACACGGGAGAGCTTCGGCCGGCAAAGTCCTTGTGACAGGGCATAATTTATCGAGACTGAAGAAAAAAAACTGGAAAAAAAAACTCTCTTCCTTTCAAATTTGGAACGTAGTTTAACTTCAAATAGTAGATCCTATTCTTTATTTGCATTATGTAATTCATGTTGAGACACAGAGATTTTTCAAACCACTAAAAAGTAGCATTTGAGGACTCAAATATCCTGTACCTGACTATATAAGGCCCATCCCCGACTTTGGATATTTTGCTGAGGGAAAAAAAAAGTGTGCCTTCATTGCGGACGTTGGGGAAAGCAGCAGCCACGAGGCTAGGCTAGCTAACTACTGGCTGTATGCTCGCGCTCGCACAATGGACGCCAAATGTATATCAAATGCGATTCAGGGTTGCGATATTCGAGTAAAGAGCAACACAATTTTAAAGGGGTTCTTAAGAAAACACGAGTGGCTCATGATACATAGTTATTTACATTTAAATTATTGTTTCATGAATATTCTGTGGTAAAACCCCAGGGTAAAACACCTTCATTCAAACTTTTAATCAAAATCAAAGCACAAGCTCGATCAAAAAGTAATCGTACAGCGTGCATGCAGCATTCTTGTATGTACACACACCGGCACCACGCACCGCACCTGTCACTGCAAGTCATTCACGCGCACAAACATCTTGCATACAGTATGAAAGACACAATAGACACGGTACCAGTAGGTCCTAAAGATATTGCGTGTTACGAAAAAGGTCCTGTAAACCACAGATTTTACCAAATGTTGTTTCCTTTGTTCACAAGACAAATTAAATGCCATTTTAACAAACATCTTGAAAAAAAAAGATTTTCCCTGACTTTCCAGAAGAAATGGATGAATTCCCTGACTTTCCCTGACTTTCCAGAAATTCCCTGACCCGTACGAACCCTGTTACTATTAAGAGTAAGAAGCAACGTACAGGTAAGTTTTTTATTTGAAATGTAAATAATATTATTATTATTATTATTATTATTATTTATATACTGCGCTTTTCCCAGAGTGGCCCAAAGCGCTTACAACAAGAAGAATCATACACAAAATAAAAATGAAAACTTACATAATCCTAAAAATCTGGATTACAAAAAAGAAATGTTTTAATGTAGGCTTAATTATAAATAATACCGGTAGTAATAATGAGTGTGAAACTGTGATTGATTTGGCGATGCACGATTCGATAACGTATTCGTAACACCCCCAGACCCCTGTGACAGCTGTCACATACCATTTACCAATCCAATTTTGTCATATTTTTTTTATGTGTGTTCCAATTTTTTAAATTTTTTATCGCAAACGATTTTCTTCACTGACAAGGTCCTGTAAACGTCAGTTAACCGTTTTTGCCCAGGACTACCTTGTATCATTATCATGTAATTCAAAATTGTAGATTCATCACAAATATGATTGATTTATCAGAAACAATAATGGAGCATTTTCATTTCATATTGTATATCATATGAAAAGTAAGTTATTCAGCCAAAATATTCATGATCTTTATCATTAAACTATGGCTCATACAGTGTGGTCATATCTTCAAAAATAAGGCTAAGATAGCACCAGAGAGCATCTAAAACCCTAAAGCTGGACCCCGGCCGCAAGGGACTTCGCGCTTCGCGCTCGTGATGTGCGCTACGCGCACAGAGATTTTTCTTTTGCAATTTTAGTAGCCTCCTGTAAATCATAAATAGCCTGCTATCAGAAAAATTAACAAGAACCCTGCAAACCTGCATGGATTGGATAATCAAGACATCCGATAATAATTTCAACACGATGTCATGTCCCCCAACTATCCGTAATCTGACCTAAAATTCGACGTCAATGACACCGACTAATTTATCATCTCACGTCAGCCCTTTCTCTCCCCACTCCCATCACTCAAGCCATACCGCGCCCGTGTCCGAGCCGACCACAGCCACCACGTGCAGCTCACACAATCCAAACGCACTCACGCCGTGTACTGTTCACTACATTACATGCTATGCATACCTATCACGATATTTATCGATCAGTGCAAGAATTTTAAAATGTGCTTTTTCATGATATAGAAATTACAAATTACACCACTTTCATTCTATATAGAGGGGAAAACATTGTAATTACATGATTTTAACTTATCTAATCTAAATAAGCAAACACATTTCATAAATTTAGGGTCTATTTTGAGAATAAAAACGTACACGTAGTTCAAGCCGTATGGAGTCTTGGAGAAAAGGATGTGCTAAAGTTATGGTTGCAAAAGTATTGCGGCCACATCGAAAGAGCGTGTGCAAACTTTATAGTGCTAGTTGTACAAAATGCTAATATCAGTGCTATCCTAATTTTTATCTAATTTTTTTGCTCCTTGTTCTATTTTGAATATGTATATTTTCCATTTGTAAATGAAGTATTAAAAAAGCAACAGGAAGTTATATTATTTTCTGAATGGTTTAATAATATAACTAGCTACCAATTGATGATCTTCTTTCAGATATTTATAATCTGCCCTATTCTTGAATATTGTGTCTCACTGTCAAACAAGGAAATAATTTTGAGGGGGGGGGGGGGGGGATCAGAAAAGGGTTTGTAAAATGTTGCCGGGTTCTTTAAAGTTTGAAATCTAGAAGGAAAACATTTTAATGTGATGGAGAATGTCCGCAAAATCTTTAAAAGTCGTTTCTAAACAAGAAAAATGTCAGGCTATGGCTATGTAATTTTAAAAAACTCATACACCAATATTTAATGAACTGAAATATAAATTAAATTGTCTTAGAAAAAATGCAATACCATGCGAACAATTCATTGACCAGCTCTTGAATACCGGGCTGAATACCCGATTTTTAATCAACAAACTATGCCTCTTGCTTTTTACACAAAAACTTTGAATGCATCTTATATTTAATTTGCTCAAATACGTTATGTAATAATATTATGTCATATGCACTTGTTACCACTAAATTGGAAACATATATTCAGTTCAGCCCTGGGGCAGCCGACCATGTATACAGTATATTTATTATATCATTGAATGATTGAATGTTGAAATAAACCTTGAATTGAATTGAAGAAAACATGTTAATTAGAATTATAATAAGTCTGATGAAAACTTTGGGGCGTCGCACTAAATTTCTGGAAAAATGTAGAGCAAATATTGAGTTAAGGCTTCGGCAACATGTTTTAGGCTCGCAAGTGCTCTATGTACGTAATGTAGATTCAAAATTGTGTGTGTGGGGGGGGGGGGGTTCTCTCGCTTATCGGCTACGCCCTCTCGTATATTATCTAGCCTATATATATATATATATTTATTTGCTCTGCCCATAAGCATTGAGCACTGTACGGAGGAACAGACCAAATCTAAGTATATATATATATATATATAAAGTATCTCTTATTATATCTTTATCTCTAAACCGCAATATTACACAAAGAAGATTTTCCTGTGTTTAACAAGCGCTAGGCTATGTAAATTCCCAAGATGACCAGATTCTTTGAAAGATTTCTACAAGTTCCCCAATACTATAATATTGTTTGGAATATTGCTCTAAGTTCAAGGAAACTTTGAAACGTATGGGGAGGTGTATAGTCCCTTCGGGCCTAACTCTCGCCTCTCTTGATCGTTCATTATGCTTCTCAGTCGCGTGTCGTCCCCAGTCTGACTCTTGACAAAAAAGAAATTGTCTCCCTGCTTACTTGGCTATTCAAAACTCAAAACATATGCTGGAAAAGAAGGCCTTGTCATTGTAATTCAATTAAAATTAAACGAAGACTAAAAATAATGATATATTGATTCTCCACTTTCATAAAATAGAAAAAGTGATTTGTTAGCATAATTTCCCCTCCTCTCCGTGTAATCACGATTAATTCAGCAATATTGTTATTTTGTCTTTACTGAAATATGATTCTTTTTGTTTTGTTTATGTTGTGTGTGTTGGTTAGTTTTGGGATGTATTTGAAAACGGATGTCTAATATATATACAAAGAAGAATTAGAAGAAGAAAAAGAAGAAGAAGAAAGAAAAAAGAAGAAGAAGTACCCCCAAAGGGCCCCTTTTTACATAGGAAAAGTGCCCCTTTAACTTTGTAAGAAGTGCCTTTTGTGCATAGGAAAAGCGCCCCTTTTACTTTGACTCGGACATGTGCCTCTATTACTTTGTAAAAGTGCCCCTTCCTCTTTTCACCTCTGACGATTGCCCTTTTTTATTTTGACACATGCCCCTTTTCCTTTTGGCAAGTTCCCATTTTCCTTTTGACAAGTTCCCATTTTCCTTTGCAATAAGTGTCCATTTTCCATTCTCATGACTGCCCTTTTAAATCTCTAGTAAGTTGTCCTATCCAGGTACGAGAAGTGCCCCTTTTCACTTTTGATAAGTGCTCCTTCACCTCTGATAATTACCTATTAAAATCTGAGAGGTGCCATTTTTTCTTGGACAATGGCCCCCTTTCCTTTGTATGAAGTGCCCCTTCCCCTTTTAATAACTACCCTTTTTTTAACTCAAATAAGCGCACCTTTTATTTTCAAATGTGCCCCTTTTTCTTTCTAATAAGTGTCCCTTTTTACTTATGATAAGTGCCCCAATTTAAAAAAAGAGCTCCTTTCCCTTCTCATAAATTACTTGTCTTGACTTGATTAGACTTCAAATGAGTCCCGACTTTTGGTCAACTTATTTTCTTGAATGAATGTCTATGAAGAATATAATAAAAATAAATTAAAAATTCCACTCTTAAATCACTTTGTATATATTCTAAGGAGCACATAAAAACAAACACTACCCCCACACACAATGGGACAAGCTCTCTTTCCATAAGGACCGCTATTCATAAGGACCACTATTCATAACACCTGACAAAATGAGTAGCGGTCCTTATGAATAGCGGCTCTTATAAATAGCGAGCAAACCATAGACAATTTACCTCGCTATTCATAAGGACCGCTATCCATAACTCGTGACTAAATGAATAGCGGTCTTTTATATGTAAAGAGTGCTTCATTTAGACCCCCACACCCCCCCCCCCCCCACACACACTCTTTGAAAAAAAATCAAATGATTACCAAATATTTCAACATATTTCCTACAAGTGAAAAGAGCTTTTATTGATCCCTCATATATTTTTTCTACAAATAATTGTCAAAGAAATTCTTTTACAAAATATATAAATAAGTATTAGCTATTGAGAGGAAAGATATCTGAATACAAGGATTTTATTTTACAAATCACTGTACATTTTTTTCCCCCTCAGATATCCCCTTGTATTGCAAACATTACGATAATGCTACGTTTTCATCAGTCATATTTCAATGCTATTCTGGCTTTGAAATCATGATTAAAAGGTTGTGTTACAAGTAAAGTAGTTTTTATTTATCTACATTTGTTACATATAAGAGATAATATTTGTGAACTGCCCACTTAAGCAGTCACCTAAAATAGCGCACACATTAAGAGATAATTTATTACAATTTAGGTATATTATGATAATTTGAAGACCCCTCGGTATGATAGCAGAGAAAAAATAGTTTGTGTATAGTAAATGCCCTTTCAATCAAGTACCGATAAGGTAATATATTATTTTAACACATAATGATACATGTACACTGCCCATTCTTGCAAGCATACTGAAATAGTAAAATTTCTGATCCCATTTTACTTACATGTAAGTATACAAAAACATAAAAATTCATCTTTACAAAATAGTAATTAATTAATAATTCCCCCCAAAAATGAATTCTTGGGTAAATTAATAAACCATATACATGTAAATGGCAGAACATGGACATTTTCGGAGGAAATTGTTTTCCAGTTTACCATAAATTGAAAATGTTCTTGATGGATAAAAAGTTTAGTTCGGAATAAAGTTATTTTACTCTACAGATAACATAAAATTTAGAACACCTCTTTGAGTATAACATTTTCTTACATTGTCAATTAATATCTTTCCTACAAGCACATCCCATCAATATAACTCACTAAGAGTGTGTACAAGTTCCTCCCTCCTTCCTCTACCCAATTATTACTTTTCAAAATGACTGTTGACTGCGTCCTTTCACAAATATGAAGAACATGCCTTTGGTAAGGCATTAATACTCATTACAGAGTCCCTTGGAGAGGACTTAAAGCCGTTGATCCCCTGGTTGCTTACTTACAAGCACACACATGCTTTCTTAGAAGTCAGGTAAAACAATCATCAATCATTAATTAATATGCAGTGATAATCCAGGCCCTAGGATGAAGTATACAGACTATTTGCACACAATTATCTTTTGTTCTCCATATTATTGATGAAACATATCTTTAAAACATTATAACTAATACCTAGCACGTAAAAAGTTGAAATACAAGGATGTGATATGATATGATATAGAACAGATTTTCTTAACCTTTAAAAACTGTAATAACTGAGATACACAATGGTTAGCAACATAAATAAGACTGCTTAATGTAGACATTGCTTTTTAAGCATACACAGACCAATATACATATCAACCTTTTAAACTTAAAAGGCAAAATAAGAAAACATCAGCAAATGAAAAATATAATTCTAACAAATACTCAAATGATGGTTCAAGGGTTGAATGATTATTTTATAACTTACTATAACAATACATTTATATGAAATAATTTATTATTAAGCCTTACATGGAATGAAATAAGTATTACTCTCAATACTTGTATAAGTGATAACTAAAACTGATGCAGCCATGCAGGTATTGTTCTTTTCTACTGGTTGGACTTGTTTTTTCTTAATTCTATCGCAAGAATATTTAAAAGGAACCAGATGAGACGAGGCTAAAAGTAATTATAACGATACATTTATATGAAATAATTCATCAGTAAGCATTACATGGAATGAAATAAGTATTACTCTCAATACTTGTACTTGAATAAGCAACAACTAAAACGGATGCAGGTATTGTTTTTTTCTATTGGTTGGAAACGTTTTTTTCTTCTGAATTCTATCACAAGAACCTTCATGTAGAGGCAACCAGATGAGACAAGGCTAAAAATGAGACTTTAAAATCAAACACAAAATGAAATAGAGGAATAAAATACTTTCGTGTTCTTACAGCATATTAATCCAAGCTAGACATGTACAGGGTGTGTAAAAAAAATCCTATGCTGGTTGAAAACACCTTCTAGATTATCTGAGCTGCTGTGGAATAACGCCATGTACCTGTGATTACCACAAGATGTCTGTCCCTCATTTCATATCCAACCCTTCACTCTCAGTGGTCAGGTCCTTCATGTCACTTGCACTCACCTCCTGGAAGCTGCTACCACTAGAAAATGGGGGTGAAAGAGAAAAGAGGGGTAAACGAGGCAAACAGGTCAATTTTCTTTCATTCTGTAAAGCACAAAAATGTGTGACTTCTGAGAGCAATATCTTTTTAGTTTAGTATTAAGGGTAATCCCACCTTCATAGCTTATTGTTTTGTCACTTTTGTGTTACTTGAAAACAATGGTTAAGATTTTGCTGCCTAAAATGACAGAAGAAGTATGGTTAATTATAACATTTCATTTCAAACTTTTCTATTTGATATCATACTCTGCATTAAAATACATCATATCCATTAGCTAGAATTATGATCATATCTCACTTGTAACTAACATTATCAAATTAAAAGCTACAGCTTCAAATTATATGTCTACCAAGGTGTGCAGCAAGCAATGATAAGAGTGAATGTCTTGGATAACCATCAATTAACAAAAATCAGGTGGTGGCAAAAAAGGTGAAGCTTGTCGGCAGACTGCAGATATTATCATACAAGTAATCACATAGTCTAACTAGTAGCCTAATCATCAGACAAGTAATCAAATAAAATCAACACATGTCTATCAAAACAATGAGACAGAATATCTATAGACATATACAGTAGGCTTGAGGATGCACCACGTGAGAGAGAGGGAGGATTGAGGAGTCCTAAAAAGGAGTCCTAAAAAGGACTCTCAGTAATCTTTCTTGAGGGTGTGTAGTCCTGACGACCCATCCTCTCCAATCGGCGCTATAGTTTTCCTTAGAACTAAAGCTAAGAAAGATAACCAACAGTCTTTTTCAAGACTACACCAACAGTCCTTTTCAGGACTACACACCCTCAAGAAAGATTACCAAGAGTCCTTTTCAGGACTGGGGATTTAACATACTACATCCATCCAGATAGACTTCTAAAGGGCAAACTGAGAAAAACCTGAATAGGCATATGGGGCTAACAGGAAATACAGATTACTCCACAAACGAAAGGCACTGTTTCATGGAACCGACATAAGTACCAGTACAAGTTAACCAACCTCCTATTGAAATGCATGTTAGTTTGTTTCTACGTGTGCTTCAATTGGATGTATAAGAGTTTTGTGAACCATTGCCTGGATCTCTGTAACATCAATCAAAACAGTTAGAGCTAAACATAGACAGGCATAGATATAGTGTAGCATTAAAAGGGGAGATATCCAGCAAGAAATCTGAACTACTTTAATCAAGTGAGCAAACACAAACAGCCAGGAGAATAGTATAAACAGGGAACCGTAAGACATTATACAGTGATAACATAGACCACAACCTATGTCTGAGTACTCAAGCTACCAGTATTTAAAGGGATATAAGCTCAACAACTTCAGCGTATACATACAGTATAGTGTGAACACAGACAAACTAACATACATCTGCAGGAAACATGAGAGGAGTGTGAACAGGGACAAAAGAAGTATTTCAATTCAACAACATACTGAAGACAGAAGAAGGGGGTAATAGAAAACTAGAACTTATGCAGCCAGTATCTTTAAATAATAATTAATGATGACTATTTTTATCACCAGAAACTTAAACACATTGCAAAATAAATTCCTGTTCATGATACAATTCGTGTGGGAATCTCAAATTCTCTCAATCACTAGTCAAATTCCCAATTTAAGCTAGATGAGTGCAACAGTTTTTGTCTTTACTGCACAAAGAAGCATCAAATCTGAAACAACCAATCTAATGAGATGGAAAAAATGAACAGTAAGACCTGCAATGTAGGCCCTATGGTTTAAAGCACATTTGATTGAAACCTATGTTGTTTTAATAGTCAGTGCAAAAGTGATACAAAGGTGTACTCCCTACATGCTTTTAGAATGGGGCAAGTTGTATAAAGTGGGTGCTGGGGGGCCCTGCTGGTGGCAAGAATATTTTGAAAACTTGGAGGATCCATAGTCCATAGTAATCATTGATATACAAGGTATCTTCTGTCCGTCTCTATCAGCCACTACTTGTAGATGTTAATTCACATGTATCAATTGCCTATCAAAGTATGTGCTTCATAAACTCTGTCCAAAAATAACCCCATAATCCCAAGGATAGCCGATTTGAATCCTCCAATCGCTCTCCTCATTCCCCAATTTCAAGCTGTATTTGATGTCAAAATTAATTTGTGTCAAATGAAACAAAGTGTCAGAGCTAAATTTTTTAATTTCCTTGTGCACGATTATTTCATGAATGAGAAAAAAATAAGTGTAAAGGCTGGAAACAAAATCTTGCAAAATCTACACAGGTATCAAGAAAGTGAATAAACAAGCTCTTTCATTCAATAATTCAAGTGCAGCTAAAACAAAATGGTTTGCAAGGGCAAAAGGAGCGCCATCCATTTTAAGCTGAGAGGTTCATGTGTGAAACAAGTGAGAGCGTCAGCCAAAGACAAACAAAACTGAGACAGGGGTAAGATGTAGTGCCAGGGAGCTACAAAGATAGCTGGTACAAGATGATGTGTCTAGGAATGGCATACCACAGAGTGCTTATAGTCTCATACCAAGCGATTACCTTTGGACACTATTTCAGATGAGAGAAAGATTTTTTATGAAGTTATTTGATGAAGACACTATCATCACTTTCATAATCCAGACCTTGAGATCCTGCAGCCATGGAGGAGAGGATAGAGTTTGAGAGATCTGCTTTGGCAAAGGTCTCTTTGGGTGGTGAAGCTTTCTTCAGCTTCAAGCCGTTAAGCATTCTGGTTGCAACATTGACAGCATGCGATGTAGAATGCAGAAAGAGAGTAGAGTTGATAAAACTCAAATATAATACATGTATACAGTCCCATCTCATCTGTAATTGATATGCACACCTGTGGTAGGGTAGCTTACTTCAGCTTTAGAGGTCTAGCATTCTGGTTGACACATTTTAAGCATGTAAAACATAATTTACAGAAATCATAGTTTTAATGAAAAACATATTTTATAGTCAATTGCATCCCATCTCAAAATTATTTGGCATCAAATCTAGTAGCGCATTGAGGATACATGTCAATGGTGTTGTAGCAAGGTTCAAATTCACAAAACTCATAAGCCAATGATGAAGGATAATTTCAAGGTTCATACTTTTGAAAGTAGAAAGAAGATAAGAAATGTTGTATAGGTATTGTTTCAGAATAATAATGCATGTACATAAAAAATCCACATTTTTATTAAACCGCAACCCCTGCATGCCTACCTTGTTGCGTTACTACCCTCACTCAGACTGTTAGTGGCTGGACTCTCCGTCTCTGATGGCGTCACGGCAGGATCAACAGCTTCCTCTAAGTCTCGTTTCTGAACGGCAGGTTTCTCTTCTGCTGGCTTCGTAGGAGTCCTGGCTGGTCGTTGTTTGATAGGAGAGGCGGACTCCTCCTGGACCTGCATGTGGAGCTTGTATGTCTTCTCTGTACTCTCAAGGGAACCTGACAATGAATGCAACCAGAAATAGGATTTCAATCTCTCACATCATCACATTAAAGGCATCGTTTAACAATGTTAAATCTATGATACATGGCCCTACGTGTTATCAGTGTCTGTGATATGGTGTAATATTGAAGCCCTAAAAAAAATTGCGCTTCAAAATAATCATGAAGTTCCTCAAAAAATAAAAATCTTTGAGCGACCGGTTTTACCATACTCATTTTTTTCCCAATAGACTGTAGTCTTATAAAAAATGCTAGGAAAACTAAAAATGAAATTTCCAATCATAAATATCTTGATAATCAGATAGGCAATCGGCTTGTAATCATGTGATTCCTGGCTGACCTAAAGGTTTATGATTATGTTTGCAGCATGAGCTAAATCCAGGATTTTTGTTTTAGAATCTGAGGCAATATTACTGAGTTATTTTAAAGACTTACAGTGAACTTCTTTGGGAAAAAAGTATCATCCTGTGTTTAGATCCAGAAGATTGTCTAACAGTGTGAATGCCCTTCTGGATCTATACAGGGCCTATCAGTTAGTTCTCACTAACAAAAAGTTAATAAATTAAAAAGTCTTTCAACTGGCTTTACAAATGACACACTTTAATCAATGGAACAAGGGTCAAGGAAAACAACCTAATTTTCAAACAGTTTAATATCACAAAAATGTATCATTATACAATAGACCAGTTCACGGTTAGCACATTACTGCAATGACCCCGAATATCCACAGATCTTCAAACATGAAGAGTCCCACTTTGTAGATTTTGAAATAATCACTCCTACAGCGATGGAGGTGCTACATAAATAGCCCTTTTTCCCCCCTTTTCAAAGAATACTTCCACCTGTGTATCATGGAGTGCATGAATGAATAATGATTACATAGCTTTCATGAGCACGTATCCAGTATTTTGTCTACGTGTATTTCACAATTTGTTCTGCAATGACCTTTATCTGCTCATGCTCAGACTGCAACCGTGAACTGGCTTATTCTTACTAATTTGGTGGTGTAAATATAGTATTTCCAAAACAATTTGTAACAATTTTGCAAGAACAGCATGAACCTATGCAGACTTATGTGTATCACCCTATACACTCTTGCTGTTATCAATTTTTCTCTTTTTAATTTTTATGATCTGATGAGATTTCATAACAGATAATAATAATAATAGGCATTTCTATAGCGCCGTCTATCTAGAAATTCTGTTCCGAGGCACACCAATTATCACCCCGGCTTTAGCCTAGCTGCCATTAGCGTTCTAGCATTTCAAGGAATTAATTCCTGCCAGGTACCCATTAACCTCACCTGGGTCGAGTGTGGCAAATGAAGAGTCATGCCTTGCCAAATGACAATAGTGTCGTATCAGGGATCCAACCACGACCCTTAAATTTTAAGCAAGTGCTTAAACCACTCGACTATGACACTTCTACGATAGATAGAGGACTCACAGTGGTCAATCGACATGTTACCTACCTGATGATAGGTTGAGTGTTCTACCCTTGATGACAGCTTCTGGAGGAGGTGAAAACCAGTTGTAAAGGGAACCTACCAGAGGCACCTGCCGTAGTACACCCTGAAAGATACAACAATATACAAACATTACAGATGAGGGCTGAATATGAGAAAACAAGTTGAGAAGCGAACCTACAAGATGCACCTGCCATAATACACCCTGAAAGATAAACAATATACAAACATTACAGATGAGGGCTGAATATGAGAATACAAGTTGAGAAGCGAACCTACTAGATGCACCTGCCGTAATACACCCTGAAAGATAAACAATAAACAAACATTACAGATGAGGACCGACTATGAGGAGAATACAGTCAAACCTGCTTTAGTGACCACCTGTCTACAGAGACCACATTTGATGTTTCCCTTGAAAATGGTTTCTCATTGAAACATGTGCTATAGGCACCTGTACATAAAGTCACCCTGCCTGCAAAGACGGCTATTTTGTCATCCCTTAAGTGGTCTTTATAGACAGGTTTAACTGTACTATGAGTATTGTGGTGATAACATGTGCACGATGAGCAGGTGATAAGAAGAGTAAGACAATGATGAAAAGAACAATTACATAGCAGGAGAATGACAGCTGAAGTCCGGTGATCACATCAAAGAAAACTATGGTTAGGTAGCTATCAAGATGTGATAGTAAGCAAATAACTACCGTTGGTGAAGGTGATGGGACAAACTATCACTTCCAAGGCGATCTGGATGTAGCTTTCTTTACGAAGCAAAGCTGAGGAAAGATAGCGTATACATTCTGATCGACGAGACCAAAACCAAAAGGTGATTATTTGCTAGTAATCCACATCTTAAACAATTTAACTACAAAAAGAAAAGGACGTGTATGCATCTATATGAAAGACACCAGGCCCAAATTCACACCAAAAAAGTTAAAAGTTTAACCCAACCCCTAGAGGGTACAGTGCGCGCATGTGTTTGCTTTAATTGCGCTCATTGGTAATGCACGCTTAATTACGCCTGTTTTAGTGCGCTTTTGGATAATCTTCAGTGAAAGTGCGTTGCCCTGTGTAGATAGTACCTCTATCTTCAGTGAAAGTGCGTTGCACTGTGTAGATAGTAGTACTATCTCATACATGCCAACATTTGAAAATCAGAAATCTGTACAAATTATGCTATTTTCAAAAAAAAGAGGAACAATCCTAACTCCTATTCAATACTACAGACAAATTTGTACAGGAAGAGGAACACCTGCATTAAAATGATAATTATCTTCTCCCAAAAAGAGGAATGTTCCTCTTTAATCTGAACAGTTGGCATGTATGCTATCTACACAGTGTAACAAACTTATTGCTTCTCCCATCAATAATGGGCAAACTATCTTTAATCACCTGATTTACTTTTGACCAAACGTAGAGCAAGATTCTTAGTATGAGGAATATAATTTCTGATAACCCTCTATTTATATGTGTATTTTTTAATATTCAATCTTCATGAAGTAATCCATAGCCAACTTTGTAATATCGTTTTGTGGTATGAATCATGACTTGATTGATACGCTTGTCAGATTAGTTATTACAATAAATTACAAAATATTACAAAATAACTAAATGATACAAAATAACTAAATGACAAAGAATCCAATGGGCGCACTGACCTCCTCAATGAGCTTGTTTTCATTCTCTATCTCCAGTTGTTTCTCAGCTTCTAGGATACCTTTGAGTATCAACTCTGACATCGTCTCTAAGAACTGTAACAGAAAGAGGGAGACACAATACAGCCAGGATTAACAAACTTATCAACATTGCGAGGGGTAAAACAGAGCCCAACAAATAACAAAGTACTTAACGGACAAGTTCAAAGCATGTAATTATACAGAAATACATACTAATCAGGGCTAATTTAGAATTTGGTAAAATGGAGATGGGGGCACAATTTGGAAAAATTAGTTCAAAAATTTAAACGGACACAAGAAGTCAATTTGGATGGGTACATCACGCTTAAAGATTGCCACACAAGCTTCAACAGGTGGGCACTGGTCAATGTGCCGCCTCCCTGACTCTGTCACTGCATACAACTGATTACACGGACTCAATCCCATAGTAAAACTTGTGGGTTTCTCTATTCATCAGAAGACAAAGTTCAGGGTCTATTACAAACTTTGGAGTACCCCTACCTAGTGAAACAGCCTACTTTGTTTACTATTTAGCTTGTAAATAGACTGCATTATATTTATACATTTTATTATTGTCACTATCTACATTGTACATGTATATATACTTTGTGTTTACTAGTTGGTTCATTATTCATGTTTGTACTTTCATACACTATATACCTATTATCGTTTGTATCCTTGTGTCATTATCTATGTATAATGTATGAGAATTGTATTCAAAAGTCATGCATTGCTATTTATACTTTTATGTTTGTTTGTACTCTCATACCCCGAGAGGGGGTCAAAGAGTCAATAAAATTCTACAAATTGTACCTGAGATGAATCTTCAAGCTCCTGGCCAATCTCGCAGATCATGTCAAGAACCTCCTCCAAATTGGCATCACCGTCCACCACATTGATTGCCATGGCAACCGTCTCGTCAGCTGTCTGTGTTATCTGATAGCGCCCTCTATGGCTGGCCTCTTCTCCAGCCTGGAGCCTCTGAACGAGTTCTGTGTTGAGTTTGTTGACCTCTCGCTTGGTCTGCTCAGACTCGGGGTCCTGGTTTGCTAGATAATCTGGAATGAATCTATTACGAGAGAAAGAGAGAGAGAGAGAGAGAAAATAAATCATGTTACAGGAATGCTTCCAGTTATGCTTGTATATTGTAACATTTGTATTACCACTAATACTTCAGTTGATAATGTAACTAATTAAACCATAATGGTTTCCAAACATGTATTGACAACAACAAAACTTGAAAAAACAACGCTTTGTTAAGAAAATACTCAATCCTGGTGCATTTTTCCATTTTCATAGTGATAAAATGTTGTTCCTTTATCCCTACCTGTTCACAAATTTTATTTTATCATAAGCAGAAACACAGAATCACAAATGTCATGTGGCCTCATTTTGACCAATTGTATTGCAAGATACTTGGTATGTGAGATATAGCACCAATTGTTCTCCAATTTGCATGAAAAGTTGTAATATACAAAGGTATTGCCATATTGCTTGCCTGTTGAATTTTTTTAACAGCCAGAGATGGGGGGGGGGGGAGGGGTGGATTGAGGGACAGATAAAGAGAAGATAGAGCAAGAGAGAGAGAGAGAGAGAGAGGGGAAGGGTGAAGGGAGAGGGGGAGTGACAAAGTGAATAGTGAAAAGGAGAGAATAATAGATCTGATAACTTACTGCACAATGCCAAGTCCTGCATGGTTCTCACTATCAATCACTGTCAAGTTTTCTTTAGCTGATGCTAATTCTTGGAATGGTCCTCTCTGCTCTATCGTCACATTCAGCTTTGACTGCACAAAATAATCAATAGATAAGTTTTAACGTCCTTATCATTTTATCATAACATTCACATTCTACCTTACAACAGACATTGATTGATTAAAAGACATTGATCCAATTACCTTCCAATTGTTCAATCAACTATAACTACATAAAACTAAGTTTTAACCGGAATGCATGCCACTCATTCCCTAATGCATAGTACCCTTAACATTTGATACAACAAAAAAATGGCACAGCAAGATTACACATCACAGAAAATAAATAAATCAAAGTTTTGAACAGAAATAAGTGTTCCTCACAACAAAATGTGTACAAAACATCTTATGAGTATTATAATGGAAGTAACATAAACTTTTCATATAAGGGTCTTTTGATTTCAAAATACATGTATAAAAAGATATATTAAAAACAAAACCAACTTTCCAATGTTTTCTTTATATATTACAACATGTTTTATATATGAGTTGCTTCAACTGTTTACTTACTATGAGGGTTTTCAGGGTTTCAACAAACGAGTCTATATGTTCTGATGATGTTCCTCTATCTGCAAGTCAGAACGAAAACAAACAAAAAAAAACAAAAAAATGAGTTGATATGGCATGTCCCAACACGAGATATAATGCATTGTTTAAATTGGGTTATATTTTGTGTTATGCACATCTTTAGACACCATGAAATACCATCACTTAATACTAATAAGGAGATGAAAAGAAGAGAAAAAGAAAGGAGATAAAGAGGATGGAACTTATAATATACTCCACATACATCAAATTATTTCTTATGAAGAAGCAAGAGCATTAGTCTGACACTGAAGATATATACAATAATGTCAATGCAAGCATTAACTTAATATTTCCCTCTGTAGTGCCCTAGACCAATCTTACAATAGAGGGTTAACTTCTCACTCATCTTGTACATGTAACTGCTAGATTATACTTACATGGAGCACTCGTCATGGGACTGAACCTAATACAAACACCCTCCTGGTCTCCTTCTACAATGTCTAGACCAATCTTTGGCTCCAAGGAACCAAGCTCAGCTCCCAACTGAAACAAACAAGATAATTCCAATCAGTTACATGTCCAAGTCGAAAGGTTGAATTGAACATATAAACAGGGGTAGAGGTATACAAATTATACATAAATGTATATTTGCAAGCATTATCTTTGCCTACAGTAGTATGAAGTTATACATATGAATAGAAAAAAAGTCTTAACTAGGAATTTATCTGACTTGGTACAGTCTTTATTTCATTCAACTTTATTTATAACTGATACAAAGAATGAAAGGAATGATTTTACATACATGAATATATAAAATATATGTGTAGATTGTGTACTTGTACTTGTGTACTAAAAAAGATCAAAACATCTATAAGCTAATTAGAAAATAGCAGAATAAGAACGCCAACGTATTGTTCCAATTGGAATGCCACTCTTGAAAGTCAAATTAATAACTGTTATATTTATATCCCATATCAGAGGGACGAAACACCTCAACATTCCATTAAAATTCGCCAATTCATGTTATTCATTTATTTGATTGTGACACTATCACCAAACCATATCTAAGGTGCTCCTTAGGGTATGCATTTAAATCTGAGATGCATGGCCCTACGTGTTATCAGTGTCTGTGATATGGTGTAATATTGAAGCCCTAAAAAACATGCGCTTCAAAATAATCATGAAGTGCCTCAAAAAAGTAAAAAATCTTTGAGTGACTGGTTATAACATACTCGTTTTCTCCAATAGACTGTAGTGTTATGAAAACTGTTAGGAAAAAGCAAAATTTGATTTTGATTTCCAATCATAAATATCTTGATAATCAGACAGGCGGTCGGCTTGAAAAAGTCATGGGATTCCTGACTGACCTAAAGGTTTATAATTATCATTGCAGCATGAGCTAAACCCAGGATTTTGTTTCAGAATCTGAGACAAAGTTACCCGATCCCTTTAAGAATGAGACCAGACTATTATGAGACATGATTCCACCATGAATATAAGCTTACCCATGTATTGACTGCATCAAGAGTAGGCTTGGGTAATGTATTTTGCTGCTTCCCTTCATCAGATTCATCCTGTGATGAAGCGTATTGAGCAAAAGCTCGACCGGGAGCTTCCATACCGTCATCGTATTTGAAGACTACGACAGGTGATACCACATCCACTTGGGACTACAGGGAAAACAAGTTATAGATAATTAAAAATTATAAATTTAAGTAGATCCTTGCCATTTGATTGGAGGATTGTTGGTCACATGATATTCATTAAATAATCTATTGAATGACTACACCATTGAGCATTGATTTTCACACTATTGAACTCATAAACATTCATTATTCGTATATTAATGCATGATAGAGAATATTCATTATTGGCCATTACATGAAGTGTTAATGAAAATAATACGTATCCTAAAGCTAATCTTGGGATCAGGTATAGAAATTCAAATTTGAGAAAAACTAGCTCAAAGTGATTTAGAATTGTTTATCAAGCCATAGGTGGAGATTTTATACTATCGGATTAAAAAAGATAATGAAAACATCCTGGAGATAACATTCAATTGCACATGAGAATTCCCTTGCTATGCATGTGTGTCAGGATGATTTTCTTGCTTTTCTTGCTTTTCATTGCTCATTAATCATTTAAAACAAACAATTTTTATAAATTGGTAGTTTTTAACATGTAATTTTTGTTTGATTCTTAGAGAATATTTTGTCATCATTACGTTGATTCAAATGACCTATTTACTTCATCTGGATTAGCTAACTGTATTTTAATACTTTTCTAGAGGTGTAACTACCTAGCATGGATTTGAACTCTCAACCTCTAGACTGGAAATTAAATGAATGAATACCCATAGCAAATGACCCCTACAATGACTGAGGAAAGAATCTAAATACCTATTAGTAGAGAATTTGAAAGACAAGGGCAGCGCATTATAAAGAGTTATGATTGATCTTAAGTTTGATCAGTACACAATGAGCCATAGACTTACGCTCGATATTAACCTTATGATCAATCAGGAGGCTTTATAATAAATGGGCCTGGGGGGTGTTTCACAAAGATCCTAAGTTGAACTTGTCTCTAAGTTGGACTTACAATTATGGAAAGCCGTTGGCACCCTTGAAAATATTTTTAAAAAGTTATTTTAAAAGGCATAAAATGTTGATTCAAATCTTTCATATTTTCTATTATCATGGGAGATATCATGTTCCTTATGTGGAATTCATGAAGTCTAAAATACTTGAATTTTTGCTTTTGAATATTTTTCATTATAAGGCTACAAATGGCTCTCCATAATATATAAGTCCAACGTAGAGATAAGTTCGACTTAGAATCTTTGTGAAACACCCCCCCCCCCCTGGTCTGATGGGGAGGTATACTTACGAAGACTTGTATTGTTCTGCTGATGATTTCAGAGAGTGAGCCCTCTAATGTGATCTCCTTGTCCACTCGAGCTTGTTTCTTGTCCTACACAAAACATAAATGAATGATTGTTTCATGAAATCAAACATGTATGTCTATTCTCTCTACTCTCTCTTCCCCTCACCTACATTCCTGTCTTTTCTTGCTCAGCTTCCTTTATTACTTTTCTCATCTTACTCTGCTATCTCCTCTTAATTTTGTCAGAATGTATTCAACTGTTTGTTAATCCAATTGATGTATTTGTTTTGTGCACATTTATGTATTTTTATGTCATAAATTGTTATCTCCTGCCAGTGGAGGCCAAATTTCTGTGTTTTTAATGTGGACAATAAAACCTGAATCTGAATTTGAATGTGTAAAAACGTATGGTTCCCGGTTCCAGTCGTACTGCATCACTAATGTCCTTTGGAAAGACATTAATCTACATTTGGCACTCTCCACCCAGGTGTAGTAAAATGAGTTCCTCATAGGATATTACTCCTTGAATGATTTCAGCGCCTTAGGCAGCTGGGTTAAAAGTCAGGGTACTTTGTACATAACTTGAGCATCCCCTGGGATGGATATGTGAGCTACGTGAAAATAGCTAATATTATTATTATATCTAGTCATTTTTCATCAAAAACAAAAATCTAGGTTATGCATTATAAAACTTTGTACTGTAGTCTTCATTCATCATCAAATGAATGAATAGACTTTAAACTTTTAAAAACAATAAAACCTTATTTTGTAGTCATTGCATTGACACATAACTAATTTGAATCTTATAAGAATATCTTCAGGTGTGTACTTGGTAAAGTGTTCATAGCACGAAAAAGATTCCTACTAAACTATCTCAAAGTGTCTACTTACTGCTAAGTTAATGGCACCAAGGGAGTTCAATCGTTGAGACATCTGTTGACTCTGTGGAAAAAAGAAAGAAAAAGAGGTCAACATCAAGCTTTTAGGTCATATTCAAAGTTTTACACTGAATCTATATAGCTTTGTTATGTAAAGTAATCAAAATAGTGAAGTGCCATAATACTGTTCTAATAAATCTTTCACTTTAAACTTATACCCAGAGGCGAAGGAAATCTTCTGTTATCCACTTTTGCTTGATTAGGCACACTTAATAGAGGATGTCTTCAGCACATGTATATCATGACCCATACATTGAAGAGCAAGCCAAAGAGGTAGTGCACCAATTCGCCTGAGGCTGAGAAATCTCGACATCTACCCCACCCCCAAACAATACCCTTATCTAGTAAATCTATTCATGTAAACAATCCAAAAGGATGATAGACTGCAGTGTGGTGTATCATAGATATGATGCCATCATGACCGGTACACTGAAGGGCAAGACAGAGAGGGAGTGCTCTGAATCTCTCTTCTCTTGGGAAAGGGACTCCCCCTCCCCCTTTTCCCTCCAATCCCTAACCTTCCAATCCATCTATCAACCAATCTACATGGATGAGAGACTAACCAGTTCTGCAGCATGGTGTAGCTTTAATTCCATACATTGAAGAGATAGCCAGAAAGGAAGGACACCTAATCTCTCTAAAAGGAAGTACAACCCCTTCCCCTCCCAACACATCTATCTATCTACCAATCCTCAAGAATGAGAGTCTTACCAGTTCTGCAGCATGGTGTAGCTTGGATACGATACCATCATGACCCATACATTGAAGAGACAGCCAGAGTGGTAGAGCACCTAACCTCTCTAAGGGTTGAGACGAACACAGTCCTGCTGCAAGGCTCTGTTAAGACAAACAAAATTTACTCATTAATATCCCCTAGTGAGATAGCAGGTACATGAACACTGATTAATAACTGTACAAATTCACTAATTCAATAGCATAAAGTATGACAGATTATAACTATTCTCAACTAGAAATGTTAAGAAAAAACTTACTTCAAATTATTTTTAAAACAACTGTTACTTTGTTCTCCTACCATTCATGAAACATAAGGCTGATTTTGCAGTACATTCCAAGATACATTTAAGTAAAATAGTACATTTATGAAAGCAATTTAACTCTGAGTGACATTTGACACGTCAAAGAAACATAAAAACAGATTTCATACTTCCCCCTTTCAATATGTTATCTTTCTGTTGTCTGGACTAAATATATCTATGCCTCTGATTTGTGTTACTATGCCAAATTCTTGACTTTCAGTATAGGTTTGACGACAAACATTTGTAGATTAAAATATGCCTTACCAAAGCAGGATCAGCAGTTTTGTACAATGTCTTTGAACAAAAAATTATGTTAAGAAAAATGTCACAATGTGTCACGGTAAAAAAAAAATACTGCATCGTTAACTTGAAGCCAGACGCAAGTCAAGTTAATGGACTTAGTGCAAAAAATTTTCTCCCTCTTACGAACATACGTCACATAAGATTTTTTAATTTCCAATTTTGAATCAATGCATGTGCATCATGAAACAAATATGGTACTATTTTCTCTAGCTATACTAAAAACTGCAACATGGATGGAAGGTACAAGAAATTGCAAGTGCATTTCACAATACTTTTTTGACATTAGACATAAGACATTTGAGTCTTTCCAATAAATTATTCAAGATGTTGCATGTCATGGGCACACCAACATGCCACAAACTGGCAACCTTGGTATCACCCACAGGGTATATTTACAGATGTTTTGAAAGGATACAACAGCGGGTGTACCAGGAAGACCAAGCCATACGCCTGGCTGGATTGTCATGCTGTTCACTCTCTTAGCTGCCTGTAATCACAAGATAATAATGATAATGATGATAATAATGGTGATGATAATTAGTTTGATGAAAATAGAAATAAAACCAGTGATATAAATACTTACAAAATAGGGGAAAAGAACAGTGATAACAAATATATAGAAGAAACATATATGATTAAATTTATGGTTCTCATGATATATTTGAAGATAAAAATGACACTGATAATACCAAATATGATAAGGATAATATATATCAACACTAACAGCAATAGTTATATGTCATCTTCATTCAATCAGAAGAGATACTAGTTGATCAATTTGTAACTTTCACTGGAAAAACAAATTGCAATCGACTGCCTCTGGACTATCATTGCCTGACTAGTAACATCAATTTCTTTTAAAATGTTTTGTATGTTGCCCTCTTACAAATAACAATGCTAGTACAATAGATAAGAAGGTCCAGATGACTTACCAGTATTGATGAAGGCACGGTACTTAGAGCAAGGGTGGCCAGGTTGTGACTGAATAGAAACGGGTACAATAAAAGTGTCCTGATTAATGATATGATAATAGACTTGATGCCAATTGAAGTTTGAAAGCTAATATAGATGAACTCAGATGTGAACTGCAATTATAACAGTGTCAATCTACCCATACCCAATATCAATAGACAACAAGTCTGCATACCGTCCCTCTGTAAGATAAGAAATCAGTAAACTACATGGCTCTCATCCACCCATCCACTGAGTGAAAAGAGGCAAATTTTATGAAACAATGCTTTCCCTAAAATCACAGATGGATATCACTTTTTCTTGTAACTGTGTACATAATACTTTCATGATATATATAATTCCTATTACAGTATCTGCATGGCCTTAAATTCTCACCACAATCTGCAGTAAAGAGATCAACAGAGAACCAATCAACTAATCATCTATACCAAGTACAGGGGAGTGTTTCACAAAGACTAAGATCGACTTTAAGTTGGACTTAACTATGATGGGCCGTTCATGCCACTGGTTGCTATCACCGTCTCTCAATTATGAATTTTAGATAATACTTTTTCCTTCAATAATGGACTATCAAAAAAAGGTTATTTCTGTGGATTTATGACCACGTTTTATACGTCCCTTGAGAAACCAATGCCAGGAATGGTTAGAGGAACTAGTGGCATGAATGGCCTGCCATAGTAAAGTCCAATTTAAATTCGATCTTAGTCTTGGTGAAACACCCTCTTAGAGCTCCTGACTATACCCTTACCCTTCCACATGTAGCCATAGATTATGCTCATCACAGATGGTCCGTAGTCTGTTGAGATTATCAGTATGGCCAGCCATAGGTGAGCCTGCATTAGCTACAACCAACAGTGGAGTCTTGGAAGACGATTCATCATCTTTGATCAGTCTCTCTAACGTAGCAATGTCCTGTAAGCAATGTAATCATTACAACAATCGTTAAAGATAAATTGAGTGCTGGTCATGCAATTGCATTGTGAAAGAAAAGGTGTGGAATGGATCAGAAAAGGTTGATCATGTAGCATGTAAGTATTGGTGTACTGCAAGTTTCTGGAGTCATCAAATCATAATAAATTTGGATCAGTCTTGGTAAAGTAACAAGAACTGTACACAGAAAGATGTATATGGGACTACACAAATGGTGTCGGTCCTACTTCCTTTATTTCCTTATCTTTGTATGCTCATTACTCAGCCAGTATACATTTTCTACCACAATTGTTTGGCAAATGACATTTATTTGTAATCTTGAACATTCAGTGTAAATTTTGTTTGATCCTGTGAGAATTCATTTTCTTTTTTTTACCAGAACTCAAGTTTATCTTTAAGTAAGATTAATGCAACTGCATCTCTTAAATGCCTCTGTCTACGTGTATGCTCATTGATCAGTTATCCTGTGACCTTTAGCACCTGACTTCATGAACCAAAACTCTCTTCATTTCATTTTTTAATGATCATGACACAGTTGGTTGAAATTGGTTACAATGCATCATCCTTAATTGGTCTCTCTAACGTAGCAATGTCCTGTAAGCAAGGTAATCAATGAATACTTTGTCACAACTGATTTATAACCATATTGCCTTGTTGTAAAGATGTGCTGTAATGTCACTGGTGCTCTAGTATTATTATATCTTACATGATATTTCAGAATTCATCCTTGATCAATATCTCTAAATGTAGCATTGTCCTGTATCAAGATAATAATAATCAACTATTGTTAAACATGATAATAATATTTTGTTGTTTAATGTGGAAAAAGCTCCCTTATAACACCCTGTTTTAGATTATAATTCATCATCCTCGATCAGTCTCTTTAATGAAACAATGTCCTACTGTATATCAGAGCAATCCAGTGAAAGGGGTGACCACCTGTATAGAAAGACCACATTATTCATTTCCATCTATTCTGTCTCACTGAAACCTGTTTAGAAAGACTTACCATCGTGTGTTGGGATCCAAAGACTGTGTTACATGGTACTGTACATAAACTGGATTGTGGAAGACCAAGCTGAAAGGCAAAACGGAAAACATCCAATGAGATTTTTTTTCAAACCATTAGACTTTTTTCATTGTTTATTATAGATTGTTTATTATAGATTGTTTATTATAGATTGTATATTATAGGTTGTTTATTATAGATTGCTTATTATACATTGTTTATTATTCGTTGTATATTATTCATTGTTCATTATACATGCAATTGTACAGAAGCAACAGATTGCAACAGTTACTTAGCTCTGATATGCTCAAAAGGAGCTCCCAATAATTGGAATTTACAATAGTCCTTTATATAATCTCTTTTTTTATGGAGAAAAATTATTGGAAAGTTTATCAACTTTATGCAGTTTTTTCTTGGATAAACAGTCAAACATATTATTTCTGATGAATACAAAACAGCATTATGATTAGAATAACATGAAATTTTGGGGGACAAATGGAATTCAAATAACTCATGGCAAATTTTCCCCATCTAAGTTTTGAAGGGGTGAATGGGTGAAGAAAGAAATGGAAATCATCCCTCAAAAAACATGATTTTTTTTTTTTTAATAGCCTGTCTGCACTAGTTTGGCCAGGAGGGATTAGACCTCCCTGCGTGGTCACTGACAGGTGGTTATCTCATTAAATAAGCTCTCAATTAACATAAGAAAAAAGGGATCATGGGGGATCAAAGGGTACCACTTAGGCATTGTTTGCTATATAGAGGGCGCTAGTAGCTACAAGTAGTACAGTCCAGCTTTAATAAAATGACAAGTCCATGATATTAATTGTGATGTAATACCTGAGCACAGATGTATTGTCCTAGTCCAGGTCTTGATGCAGCGCTGATGTAGATGATGGGTGGCTTGGTGTAGAGACAGTTGAAACCCTCGGTACCAAACTTCTCATATTTGTTATTGAGGACCAGTCTGCAAACCCTCGCTAGTCCCTCCCGATCATCCACATGGTAGTATGCTGATGATTCATCAAATCTAGCATAAATAAAATAAATAACATTATTACAAGACAATTGACTTCTGATTTTTCTGACATTTAAAATAATTTAGTGTCTATATTCTCCACAGCGCATAATTCGCTAGAAAATTGTTCAAGTAGTTCAAAAACTCACAACAACATCACTTAAGCGATCAATACCCTCATCCTCAGAAGAGTATAATTAAAGAGAAGTTGGTTACATGGCAGCTACTTTTAACTCCACACCCCCTCCTCCCATCAAAAAAGGTATGTCATGCACATCTACAGTTCACTATAAAAACTTGGTTAAAGTACTTGCATCCCTAAAGTTCTGTGGAATTGATTCATGCCACAAACTTCAGACAGCAGCACAGGCATGTTGAAACACAAAGGATTTCAATCAGTTATTATTTCAAACCCCTAAAGAAGTTTCCATGCACATATTCACTTCAATATTCATTTACATGTACATTGGAATGCCTCATGACTGTGGATGTAATTTGTAAGTGACTGACCAACCATTAAAATGTCCAACTTCTGTGTACCTCATACACATCATCTTTAAACTGCTTTCACACAAGGGTTCTAGAAAGAATCCAAAGAAATTTAGAAAAAATATATATTATCATTAATTAAAACCAACCTGAATATCCTAGATAGCCAGAGTGTGGTATCTGAGACTATCCTTGTTGCCATTCTACGTAGATGGTCGAGTTCAAAGGTCGATATGTATGCCATCATGCTCTGTCCAAGCATAGCAATGTGTGCTGCCTTATCTAGCATACTTGGTGATGTGATCCTATAGATGAAGAAGAAAAAAAAACAGAAACAAAAATGAAATGAAATTCAAGAAGGAGAAGAAGAATTTTTAAATATCTTTAAACAGAAACTTTGCTTTACAAATTACTGGAAACTGTGTTCAAAACAGCTCTCAATTCACATAAGAAAAAGGGGATCATACCGCTTAGGCATTGTTTGCTATATAGAGGGCACAAGTAGCTATAAGAAGTGCAGTCCTGCTTTAATAGATACACATCTCTTTAGTTACCTTGGTACTCCTGGTCCATCCTGATCAGATGTAATGATGATGTTCTGAAGCTGTTCAATGATCGCATCCAGCTTCTGACCACTATTTAGTTCCATAGAAGAATAAACAAATAGGGAAAGAAACAAGAAACAAGAAAAAGATGAGAGAATAAACAAAGCCGGTTTAGCCCTGTTAGCAGAAGATCTAGAACGACTCATCAAATTCACATGATCTAAGGATTCTCCATTGTACATCTTCAGAAGAACCTGCATCATCACTGAACTATACGCTCATCTTTTTGTTCATCTACAGTTAACAACTAAATTATCCATACCCCTTATAATTTGATATTTGTTGTGCTTTTCTCAACTCAAGAATCAACGGTGGACTGGTTGAATACTTTTAGATGTAAGTTTTGATATGTCACATTCTCAAGAAACATAAATCAGGATAAATCAATCTTATACATACAGTACTTAAAAAATGACAAAACTTGGAAAGGGTATGAATAATTCAGCTGTTAACTGTTCATAACTCTGGTGTCACACAAACATGTACCGGTACACAGTATTCACTTTCATTCCAATACAAGGACAAAACAATACATTCTATTACAAAGATATAATCATATGACTACCACAAACATGTAAGTAATTTGAAAATGAAATTAATTTGTAAATTGAAATCAGATGGGATATGGAACAGGATCATGCATACTAGTCTACTCATTCAGACCTGAATGCCCATGGGTGTGGTTTTAGTGTGGAGTGGTATGGGGTGGTATGGGTGGAGCATGCTATGTACGTGTAGGTACCTGTTTGATATTGGTCCAGGGAGCTTTCTTCTCGATTTATTCACAAATGTTTGAAACCTCTCCTCCCTCTCCTTGTCTAGCTGCCTGTTGTATCATAGATAGTGTTACCCACAGTGTTATCTTTCCTACTACCGTATCCAATTCTATTCTAACATGTTGTCATTTGTGGCAAAGTATGTCAACTTAACATCAGAACCCAGAGATTACCCAGTTTAAAAGCTAAAAATCTCTCCTTTATGAAATAATTTGCTTTGCTTGATTCTACTTGCTTGACAAAAACAATCTTGGACTCTGCAATGACAGACATTTAAGCACATGAAAATATTTTTTTTAAATAACATGAACATTACTACATGCACATGTGTACAAGGAAATGCCATACTTAAAAAATCCATCTCTCATCCTGTTTTGTCATTAATCACATAAAGTAGTGTATATCAATGTGTTATTTTAACAAAAGGATATAGTCATTCACAACATCGTAAATCATATTCTAATAGACCTCTTTATTATAGCTCTTCATCATATTATTTTATCTTGCTTTGTTTTGTTTTTGTTTGTTTTTGTTTGTTGTACTTTGTAAAAATTCATCATGCAAAACACTGCACAATTTAAAGATGGCTTCATAGACTTAGTTGGCCAACAGCCCATCCCTCCTCCCAAACAACTAAACCACAATACACTATCTATTTCTTTGAAATTTCTGTTTTAAAAGATGGATCAAGGTTTTTAAGGGGAGATTTTAGATTTCCCACTTTCTTCTTAAGCTTGTGTGCATTACAAGAGCACTTTAGAGCCTTCTAGACTTTAATAGCACAAAGCTCTGTTCACACAAGGAGGGGGGGGGGGCTCAAGGTGGTTATTACTTTAATAATCTGTATATTTTCATTTTGCCAGTGGGATAGCCTGCCAAGTATCTAAAGGGTAAAAATTCTCACTTCTAAATGTAATACTTATAGATTTATCAGAGTATACATGTACATACATAGGCCATGCACTCTTCTAAAGAGAGCAAAAATATGAGACTTCACTCAAATTTGCCTGATGATATTGTGGAAATAATGTGAACTGCCCCTTCATACTATATTTATAAAGGACAAACTTTTGGAAGCTTACTAGTGACTAAACTAAAACTTACATGCTCGATATATCATCTGTTATATTCAAAATATATATTTTTTTAAAGTTTATCATACTGTACATATTGTAGATACAGATGGCATCACTTTGTATGGAAGACAGGCCCTTGTATACCTTATGATTGACTGAGAGTCATTTGAAATGTATACAACTTGATATTGTAGATATAGATAGCACCATCTTGCCTGAAGAAAAGCCCATGTAAATCCATATTATGAATGTCAGAGATTATAAAGAAAACTCCATGTTAAAGACTTACTTGCTGTAGGAATCCATCTGGTCCATGACCTCTTTCAATCCTTCTGACATCTCTCTTAAGCTTGGTTCAATCATCAGCTGCAAAGAAAAGGCAAATCATTCAAGTTCAATAAATCAATAATCTTGCTTTACAATTGAATTCAATTCCATGCAAACCATTGGAAGCTTGACAGTTGGAAGCTCTAAATATATATATATATATACAGACAAAGTAAGACCCAATTTACAGCTCATTAAAAAATTATGAAATCTGGACTACCTAACAAATGAGTGACAACTACACGTTACATAATATCACTTTTATTCTTACAAGAGCATTATCAACCACCAACATCAAGATTAAAGGTGAACTGTTAAAGCCAAGGGCTATATGTTTCTGAATCAATCTTTAAATAAAAGTAACAATTTCAAATATTCACCGAGTAGATCACAAAACAACAACTTTCCAAATGAAATACACAAGTAGCAGGTAGACAAATTCAAACTAACTCGCACATGTACTCTGAACAGTCTGAAGTAAGGTGTTTCAAGAAGCACAATCTGTTTCTTTGAAAAAATGGGGGTTTTGAAGAAGCTCACTGTAACTTGCAGGTAGTGGACAGTAAATCCTTCATGTACCTTTCTTTTTTAGAAGATTGTGAAATCTTGCAGGTAGGGTAGCAGGAAGACAACACAATAGATTCAAGTATTTTATTGTTACGTTGACAATCACTTAAAGGGATCCGGTAACTTTGTCTCAGATTCTGAAATAAAATTCTGGATTTAGCTCATGATGCAATGATATTTATAAATCTTTAGGTCAGTCAGGAACCCCATGACTTTTACAAGCCGATCGCCTGTCCGATTATCAAGATATTTATGATTGGAATTACAAATTTTGAAAACCGTTCGCCTGACGGTTTTCATAACACTACAGTCTATTGGGGAAAACGAGTATGGTATAACCGGTCACTCAAAGATTTTTACTTTTTTGAGGCACTTTTTGATCATTTTGAAGCGCGATTTTTTTAGGGCTTCAACGTTACACCATATCACAGACACTGATAACATGTAGGACTGTGTATCTCAGATTTAACATTGTTAAACGGTCCCTTTAAACATCAAGCAGAGAACCTCACTGATTTTGGCATCTGGGATGCGATAATCATGTGTGCATACTGTGTGTTTTTTTTTAATCTTCTGAAGGATTTTACAGATGTGAATTAATAATTACTTACATCTGACTGGGACTAACCTTTAACGTCACCAGTCAAAAGACATTACTCAGTTCTGAACCTAAATGTACATGTGGGTCTGATAAGAGTCGGTTTGGGATAATCTGGGAGATTAATTTTATAGAGGACTTACAATGTCGTATCAGACACACACACAAACATTATATAAGCCCTCCTCTTAACTACCAATCTTGAAAATCAAATGGGTACGATGATACAGGGTAGACTATCAATCTAGATCTAGAGATCATATAAAACCTCACTCATCGCTGACAGTGAATGCAACATTCACAATGCCACAGGTCCAACAAAGTTAAACATTACACACACAAATTTATCTGCAATAAAGCTTTCACACTCATGTTTTTTTCTGATTGATGATAAATCAATTCATTGTCTCCATCACTGACCATCTCATTCTCGAGTTAATGCTGACTAATTAACTAAAGTTTACTCTACTCTTTAAAGAGTCATCAGAGCAACTTTAGAATACCCCACTACTCACTATTGCAATAGTCTAACTAACTAAAGCAACACTAATTTACTAAACCTAATCCTCCTATTAGGAGGCGAGTTGGCTCAGTCTGTAAAGGGTCTGCCTGTCGAACCAAAGATCCCGACCCGAGTTTGAATCCCACCCAGGTGGATGACTGAAGCCTGCGTTGTGAGTTTTAATGTGCCCCCTTGTTCATAGATGCAGGCTATGTGGAAAACAGGCTATGTGGAAAAACACTCTGTCCCTCGTATAGGACGTTAAATGGAGGCCCCGTGTAGAGAAGAGTCACGTCACGATACCTTTGCACGTTAAGAACCCACTGCACTATTCGTATAAGAGTAGGGGGAAAACCTGGTGTAGGGGTCCACCTGCACACACCCCAGTATAATACGATAATATTATGAAACTGTACTCAAAATGGAAGAAGAACCCAACTCCAACGCCATGTGACTGTGTGAGTGTCACCTGTCCCTCATCTCCCTGGCCCTTTATTTAATAATCCTAACCCATAATTCTAAACCTAGTCCTAGAGGCTAGAGAGTAGAGCCAGGTCTAGGTTTTCAACGTTTATCACTATTGGTGGGTATTCTAAAGTTAAGTCAAAAGCAATTTTCAATCACAGACTTAGTCACTGATAACTTATCTATCAAGTCAGACCTTACTTACACAGCTCAGCTCAGCTTAGTCAGAAATAACGGTCTGATATGGGTCATTTCTTTAATAAAACTGACATTTGTGATTTGTTGACATTCCCCATATCAGAGGTCTAGTGGAACCAGACGTAGTCTCAGCGGAACAACCGACGATATAGAGAGACTGAAGCTTTTGGTCTGAGCTCAGCTCAGCTCAGTTCATTCATTCACGCTCACTCACTCACTAAAATTCTAAATAAGCTCCGGTACCGCCTACCGGTCTGAACTGCTCACCTTTTGGGCTCGATCATTACGCTTTCCTCCTGATTTTCCAACATTTTTCCCCTTTACGGTAACATTCCCTGTAGCAGGAACAGTGGCTCCTTCTCCAATAGTCACAGAGGCAGCCATAGTTAGACGATTTTCACCGAAATCAGTGCATAGAACTAAAAAACAGCTTTAGCGTACTCGCACTAGCAGCCTATACGTAGCCAACGCTATTATATTCGCTGTATTTGTACTGTGTACGTGTATACGCTGTATGTAGATTTCCACGCTGGCACATATTGCGAAGGTAAATAGACTGAAGAAAGAGACGATTATTATACTTAAAATAGATTGATTGTGGATAAGGTATATAAAATGGTTCAATTTCGCATGTCATGTTCAGAGACAGAAACGAAAATGATGAAGCGACTTATCGATACAGGCATGACAAATGGAATACTTGATGAAAAATATTAACTTTTCATTTTTCGAAAGTGTGGGTCCCAGGCAGGCGCGTACACAGGGGGGGGGGGGGGTTAACCCCCCCCTTTGGTATTTTTTTTGTGTAAACCCCCCCCCCACAACCCCCCTAAAACTCCCCTCCCCCTTTGGATTGTTTTTATATCCCCATGGCTGACCTAAAATAGCTGACCTTACCCCCCCCCCCAACGAAGCAAAATGTCAAATTTTCAAATTTCGAGACAAAAAAAAAAGTGTCCTCTTACCCCCCCCCCCCCCCCCCCCCCCCGCTTATCCAGCGGTCGGCTGAGTCGTTGCGATTTTTTGGGGACCAAAAAAAAAGTGTCCCCAGGCGCATACACAGGGGGGGGGGGTGACCCCCCTTAACTTTGTTTGTGTGTTTTGGAGGAAAACCACTCCCTTTGGGTTTGTTTTTCTAATATTTTTTTTTTTAATGTGGTAATGGGTGACCCCAAAAACTGACCTTACTCTCCTCCCCCCCCCCCCCAACGAAACGAAATATCGATCGGCCAAATTTTGAGAAGAAAAAAAATATGTATACCCTCTTACCCCCCCCCCCCCCATCTCCCCCGCTAGCTCTTCAGCGGCCGGCTGAGTCGTTGTGAAATTTTTTCGGACCCTAAAAAACAAACAATATGCCCTCTCACCCCCCCCCCCCCCCCCCCCCCGCTTATTCAGCGGCCGGCTGAGTTGTTGCAAAATTTGTGGGACCAAAAAAACAAAACAATATGCCCTCTCACCCCCCCCCCCCCCGCTTATTCAGCGGCCGGCTGAGTTGTTGCAAAATTTGTGGGACCAAAAAAACAAAACAATATGCCCTCTCACCCCCCCTCCCCCCTGCCCCCCCCCCCCCGAAAAAATCCTGCGTACGCGCCTGGCCACAACTTACGATCATCACCTCAGCCACTAATTTCTTAATTAATTAATACCATCAACCGGCTACATGCACCAACATCTCTACAGTCATTTTCTCGCGGCGCCACCACCATCAGCCATGTCAGCCACCACCAACAACACCACTAACACCCCCAACTTGAACTACACCATGAACTGGACCACCACCACTACTACCACCACTACCACCAACATAATTTATAATCTCCATCTTCTCCACCATCACTGGTCAGCATATCCACCATGCACCACCACCCATATCAATTTGGTCGATATGTTCAGCAAAGACTGCTTCGTGGCAGCAAACCGTGGTAATAGTCTATACTAAAACAGACTCATTCGAACATTTGGAGTATTATATGTACCTTAAAAGTGAAACACTGGGTTCGCTTTGGCATTAAATGAGTGTTAGTTTTGTTTAAATACTACAAGAATATTTTGAAAGGTCATTTTAATGTTTAATATATCATTTTTGGTTAAATTTCTGAAATTTCTGTAATTTTTATTATATTTCAAATCTCTATACGCAAATGGCCAAGACCATCATTTCACGTGCGCATTAACTACATGCAACACATGTTTCCTTGACGAGAAAAAAAGAAGAAGATGTCAACTTCCTTGGTGCGGAAAGGCCTGGAACTGTTCGCAGATGAATCTGGTAATTGTTTTTTTTTCTGAAATTTGAATGATATTATTTCGAATTTTCTCTGTGTACTGTCACTTCTCACTGTGTGACATGTGTGATGATTTGCGTCCAACAACTCAGCTCTGACTGTCGCTAGATTCTCCATCCGTCCATCGGACACTGGTCAAGTAGCACCGGCAAAGTGGCGGCAGGCAGGAGACGCTATCTCTGGCCAGTCTGGGCTCGACTCAAATCTCACCTCAGAGCGCTAGCGCTGAATTGTTGTTGTTGGTTTATCACTTGTCTTATGGCAATCAATATGTCAATTTTGACTATTATGACCAACAATTTTTTTTTTTTTTAAATCATAGACTAGACCCTATAGACTAGTCTAGTCTAGCCCAGTCCTAGACCGAAATTTCTGTCTCTTTTGTTCGTTGGCCTCTGATTTTGTGTAGGGTCGGCTCCTCTCTTTAGAGACGGAAGTCAACCATAGGGCATTCTCCTTCAAGCACCATGGCCATTTATGGCCATATTTCTATGCCCCCAGAATGTCATTTTACCTGATGCATATCCGATTTATTCTATTTGTAAAATTAAGCCTAGGCTATTATACGTCGGTTCCACTTACCAATTTGACTGAATAAATCCGTTTGATGGTCCATTTTCAGGAAATTATGGGTCAAAATCGACATCCATGTTGAAAATCTTGCAAGCTAGTATTTTAAACTCTTGCTGCGCATGACATCATCTAAATATCATCCCGCTGAAGGCAAAATGATTATGAAGGAAAAACTGCGCAAGCTACAAGTTCATAATAATGTTATCTTCTACAGGGGTCCTAAAACCATTCATTTTATGATGTAATCAAGTTAATATGTTGGTTAATGTAATACCAGTCTCTTTTTTACGTAAAAGATTATAATCATGTTTTGTGTGGTTTTGAATAAAATGAACTTGAACTTGAAGCATTGTGAAGTTTTAAATATGTTTTTTTATTATCTTTTTAGTGGCAGAGCTTGGGGGTGCTGTATCTCATAGAAAGAAGAAAGGACCATCATCAGTGAAGAGAGAAGACATGATGGAGAAGATCAACACAAACAAGAAAGGAGTCAAGAAACAACTCAACAAGATCAGACATAGAGAGATCAAGAAACCAACAGCAAAGGAAGGCAAAATCAAATCATCAATTGGTAAGATTTGAATACATTACATTGAACTAAAGCCCATTTGTACCATTGGTAAGGTCAAAAAAAAATAGTTACCAGCTATCATAGAAATCAGGAAAAACCATCAAAGTGAGTTCTCTGCTTTCCAGTCTGGTAAAAGTTGGTAAAATTTGATAAAAATCACTCAAATTAGGGAAAACAGGAAATCTTGTTGGCCCATAAAGAAAGTCAGTCTCATATGTTCTTTGTCTTGTGTCCAAACAGCATATAATCCATTGGATGATTGACATGCTTATGACTTCAATGAGTTGGTTCCTACAACAACCCTTAATTGAACATATTTCAGATAAAATTGTGATCCGAATCAAGTTTCGGAAATCCATCAGGGAAAAATATGAGAAGTTTGTTTATAAATATGAAATGCTGGGAACTGTGACTTGTCATCAGATTACATTGATTTAGTTGACAAATATCAAGATGAATTCTCAGCTGATTTGACTTAGAAGCGTTTTGAGGTGGAACCCCTTTGGGCTTGCAGTCGGATGAACTAGATGCAGATATTGTTGCTCTAGCCTTCATTTGGAATTCCTTTCAGAATTTTACATTTGAGTTCATTGGAAATCAAAGATGCAACATCCAAATATTTTATTGCAGATGGAGCAATACAAGACCATATTCATAAAATTTCTTTCCTATTTCATGTTAACACATTGCCCAGTAGGGCAGCATTTCACGAAACCGTTACAAGTACAAGATCACCAACATCCCATTCAAACACATGTATTGTAATTTAACCGCATTTTGATAGGATGTCCATGAAACCGTACTTGTGACAATTTGGTGAAATGCTGCCCAAGTCATTTAAAGCCTATGGGTGGTATTACGGTAGCGCATACTAAGTTAGCGCATACTAAGTTAGTCCACACTTTTATGGAGTGCCTGTTGCCAACTCATTTACCCTGTACAGATTATTTTAATCCTTCAATGAAAAGTGTCCTAAAAATTAATTTTGCAATGAAATGGGAAGAAAAATATGATATGAGTATGAACTGAATTTAAACAAAGTCTTTGGTAGATTATCTTTGTCGTGAATATTGAAGGAGGAAGATGAAACCTAGCATTCCATAGAAGCGTGAACTAAAATTCTTGTTTAGTCTGGACTTAGTCCCGGCTTAACTTAAGAGAATACAACCCTATGAGATTAATATAAACTCGGTAAACAATGGCTCAACTACCTGAACTGAAATAATCTTTGTTGTTTGCATGTTCTTGTTTCCTTCCTAGATGCGTATAAGAAGTGCCAGCCATCTGATTGCACAGAGGAGAATGTGCAGCTGCTCTTAGGTTTAAGTAGAAGCAATCCAGAGACATCAGGGTTCTACACACAGGTATGTTAGACTCAGGAATACATGGTCATTACCAACATTTAAAGGGGTAGTCCATCTTATGACTATTGTGTGCCCATTCTGTAATATCTCAATCAAATCAAAACCAAAACTATGAAGCCCTTAATCTGTATATGTTTAAATGATAGTGAATGGTATTGTTTCTTTTACCATGTTTTAAATCCACAACTCTTTCATGTTATTTATGTATGTTTGAGTATGTATGTATTGTGTAAGTGATCAAAATACACTCATTCTATGGATTTAAGATTTACTTGACAATTTGCTTTTGTTTTATACCATAGGGCATAACATGAGATGTGTGAAAGCAGTCATACTGCAAACCTCTATGGTGTAATGAATGCAACAAATTTCTGTTTTGCTTTTATTTCTAGATTCTGAAGCACTCGCGAGGGAAGTTAGCCAAGGACCAAGAAGAGGAAGAGGAGCAAACAGAGCAAGAAGGCGGATTCACAGAGGAGGACTTTGCATTATTTGACAAAGATTACGTGCCTAAGAAGAAGAATGCCGCCTTATGATAGTTGACTCATTATTGACTTCAAACTCTTTTATGCAGAGTGTGTGACTATACACTGTAGCTTGAATTCACCAGAATTGTTATGACGGATGCATCTGAATACCCTGTATTATGTCTAGCAGTCAACAACATTTGACAGACTACTGCCTAGATCGTTGCGTAAGGAACAGCAGAGAAAAGTTCTTCACCTTAACTTTGTCACAAACCAAAGCTGATTCTTTTTGTATGGGACATGGATGACATCTGCTGATTTAGTTGCCAAAGTTGCTCCAAACTTCTTGTGAGAGATGTGTAAATACAGTGTAGAGTATCTTATGAAAATTCTTGTGCAGTCTTGTAACCATATCGAAGAACCTCAGTTTAACCCTATGTTAACTGGGGGGGGGGGGGGTCAATTTGACCCCCCCCCCCTGTAGAAATTTGGCGACTACTCCAAAACCGCGGCAGATATAAAATTTTCCTTTCATGACTTTTTCTTTTGAGTCTTACGCATCTTTTAAAACAATTTTTTCGAAAATCGGACCTAAGTTAACAAGGTCACGTGACCTTTTGTCTTTGCATGTCAGCCCGAAAATCGCTCATTTTCGTGATTTGTGTACAAAACGTATGTAAAAGTCATTTTTCCTAAAAATAGATTAAACATTGGTTATTCAGTCTTGTTTAAAGTTTAGATGTTTGTTTTGGGGTCAAAATAGTTGAATTGTAGTTATAAATGAAATAAAACAACAAAAACAATAAAATACATAAGTTAAAAAAACAATGAAATACATAAGAAATTATAAAAACAAGAGATAACATAAGGAATAACCTGGCTCTTCCAATTTTTTGTGTTGTATTATTATTCCAAATGGTCTAATAAATATATGTAGTGAAAAAGAATACTTTAATATGAATAATCTATGATTTATGGGCAGAAATGTGAATTGTATGACCTTATTTGCATAAATTACCATAAATATGCAAATGAGTGAATTTTTCAAAAATTTGAAATTACCATATTATTCTATACACTTCACTTGACAGTTGACATGCATGCAAATTTTCGCGGCGATCGGCGGTGAAACGGCCGAGATCTTAGGGGGGGGGGTCAAATTGACCCCCCCCCCCCCAGTAGAAACCTGGTCTGAAATAGCCCAGTTAAAATAGGGTTAAATCAAGTAAACAATTGATCAACAGATTGTTATTTGTACCAGAGCCTTGGTCTTTGCATTGAGTTTTAATTTTAGCTTTTGTAAGACAAAGAATTTTGATCTCCGCGTATCATTAATTAAATAGCCTTAATGATAAGTGATGAAACAGGTCCCAATGAAATGCTTGGCTTAGTTTTTCTGAATGTGTAAACAGTCATTATATAGTGCTATTGACTGGTCATTAGCATTTACAACTCCAGCATTCAACTATAGTCTCTATCAAATAAGAAGATCCTCATCACTTTTCCATAAAATAAATAATACACATCTGATATTATTTTGTTTTAGACTTTTGTTATGCCATTTGTTGCTGACTTGATAACTTAGAATGAGTGATAGAAAGAAAGTGTACAGACAATTTCCACTGTAGTGGAGTTCAAAAATGAGCTATGAAAACATTTTTATGCCTCCGCCACCGAAGGTGGTGCCGGAGGCATCATGTTTTCGGGTTGTCCGTCCGTACGTCCGTCCGTCCGTCCGTCCCGTTTGACCGTTATCACAATATCTCAAGAACCATTTAAGATTTAAACTTAAGACTCGGGAATAGTATTTATCACCATAGGAAGACGATCTGATAAGATTTTGGAGTACGTAGGTCAAAGGTCACAGGTCACAGAGGTCAACTTATGAAATTCCTTGTATTGAGTTTGTTAGCGCGATATCTCAAGAACCATTTGAGATTTAAACTTCAAACTTAAGGATAGTATGTATCACCATAGGAAGACGATCTGATTAGATTTTGGAGCACGTATGTCAAAGGTCAAGGGTCACAGAGGTCAACTTATGAAATTCCATACATGAGAGGGCGCTTCAAGTGTTACGACGCTTGTATTTGACTTCTCTTAAAATTTGGTCTAAAATCGTGAAATATCTCGAACATCAGCTGTGATTGCTAAACAGAAATTGACAGAAGTTTTTCACCTATATTGTGAGATATTGTGAGATATACCCTTTGGATTAAAAGGACAACCGTCCTGGAAATTCCTGCAATTTATGTGAGTAAAAAAAAATTCTACATTGAACTATGTATGCAGAGAAAACGGCGCCACGCCCCGACGCGTTCCTACCAACGGGGCCTAAACCTGTTTTTCTCCGTGAGAATGATGTGCAAGATACCGATAAGAAAGCGCTTACTGGTGAGGAACTGTACATTGCCCTTGCCAAAGGCGGGAAAAGGGACAAGATTGCCGGAATTCAGCGGATACGTAGTCTATGGCGAATATACCTGACCTGCCCCAAAGAGCGCATTCGATTAATTTCAAATGGGTTGGGAGTGCGAGGCGCCATTGCCCCTGTATATGATTTGAACCCTTTCACCAGAGAAAAGGAGGACAATTTAACAAGGGTCACAATAAAGGACATTCCTCTCTCGGTAGACGATGATGTTATCCGATCAGAATTACAAGCTAGGAAGTCCGAGGTTGTTGGTTCTATCATACGTCAGAAGTTGAGAGTCAACGGTCAGCTAACCAGCTGCTTGAATGGCGATCGAGTACTCTATATTCGACCACCATCACAGCCACTACCACGCAAGCTGGTTTTTGTAAGCTCTTTTGTTGCTCGCATTTATCATCTAGGTCAGCCTTTAAGTGCGACATGTTCGAAATGCCTACAAGCAGGTCACCATGTTTCGACGTGCACCAATGACGTACGGTGCCGACAATGCAAGGAATCCGGTCACATCCAAAGCGCATGTCCCGAAGGCTCCAACATGTTGCGTAATGCCATGGCAACGAATGACGCGTCGTCTGCTAACGATCATAACGACCATCGCGATCATGACGTGGCAACGCCACAAGTTGACGCCGAGGGGAAATCCGCACCGCACGATCAAGCTAAGATGAGCAAGGAACGTGAAGCGACGCGACAGACAAGTCTCGAGGACTTTATCGCCAACGTCCGCTACGGAGTCCAAAGAAAGGACAAGGCTCCTGAAGCAGATGCCAGCACGAGTAGCGTTGCAACCGGTACGAGATCGGCCAGCAAAGTACGCGACGCATCAAATGTGACATCGGCAAAAGTTAGCGTAGCTAGTACGTCACATATCAACAGCAGCGAAGAATGCGACAGCAATGCATCAGGGAAAATCGATTCGGGTGGCGATGAGGAATCTTCAAGCGAGTGCGATGATGAGCCGATACCACATCCCAAGAATCAGCGCAAATTGAAGAAGAAACCAGCACCCGTAAAGCCAAGAAATTCAAGTAAGAAAAAATAGCAAAGCTACATAATACAAAGATGACGAAATACTGTTGAAAAAACAAACAAGAAACGATGAATGAAGTATCAAGAATACTTTTTGTGTCCCTCAATGTAAGAGGAATAAGAGACAAGACTAAAAGAGGCAAAATATTTCGCTGGATTAATGATCAAAAATGTCATATCGCATTTTTACAAGAATCATTTGTAACAAAAGATCTGGAATCAATAATAAAATCAGAGTGGAACGGAGCATGTTACTTCAATAATGGAACAAATCATTCAAAAGGAGTCGTGATTCTAATACACAACCGATTATTTAGTTCACTGATATCAGTAAAAGCTTTCACACGAGGAGACGGAAGAATTCTTGCATTACAGTTTTGCTTGTATGGTAAATCATACTTTTGTATTAATATATATGCACCAACAAAGAGTACGCTGAAAGAAAAGTTTTTTAAAACTTTAAAAATATGGTCAAATAAGTACAAGAACCATAATGATGTGCTTCTTGTAGGTGGTGATTTTAATTGTGTCCAAAACCGAAAATTAGATACTAGGGGTATTTCACAAATAAATATACGTAAGCGTAATCTTTCATGTTTTCAACATTTGTTCAATTTGATTGATGTATGGAGAAAGCAAAATCCAGATAAAAGACAGTTTACATGGAGACAGGTTTCTTTAAAGATGTTTTCAAGATTAGACTATTGGCTTGTTCCAGCTGATTTTATGCACAGGGTTTACTCAACCGATATCAGACCTGCATTAAAGTGTGACCACAATGCTGTTTCACTTACGATTAAGGTTCATGAACAGAAGCGTGGGAAAGGTATTTGGAAACTAAACTGCTCTCTGCTTGAGGACGAGACATATAGAACAAATGTCACAGATGTTATTCGAAAACTAAAACTTGAATATAGACACTTAGATTTGCAACAAAAATGGGAACTTTGTAAAATAAAGATAAAGGAATTTAGTATGAAATATGCAATAGATGTGAATAAAAAGAAAAAATGTTACATTGTTAATTTAGAAAAAGAATTAAGAGATCTATGTGAAAATGAATGTAACCTATCTGTAGAGGATAACGATAGAATGAAGAAACTAAAAAATAATATTGACAAATGGTATACATATCAATGTAGAGGTGCTTTTGTACGTTCAAGGGAGAAATGGTTAGAAAAGGGTGAAAAATCAAATAGATATTTCTTGCAACTCGAAAAGAGAAGGGGCCAGAAAAAAGAAATAGACTCTTTAGAAGTTAATGGGAAAATTCAGAAAGATAATATTTTAAAGCACATACATAGTTATTATACGAATTTGTATTCAATCGATGATCATCAATATAGCTCTCACGACGTGTTTACAAACATAGATATTCATTCATTGTGCGAAGAAGAAGCAGACAGCTGCGAAGGTTTACTTACTGAAGCAGAATGTTGGAACTCATTAAAAGGCATGAATAATAATAAATCGCCAGGCAGTGATGGCCTAACAGTGGAATTCTATAAATGTTTCTGGTCAGAGATAAAAGACCTGGTGTTGGAAAGTCTGAATACGGGATTTTGTAATGGGGAGTTGTCATGGTCACAAAAACAATCTGTTCTTACTCTTATGTATAAAAAAGGTCCTAAGACGCGCCTTGGCAACTGGCGGCCAATATCATTTACTCAATGTCGATTACAAAATCGCTGCTCGTGCCTTGTCACATAGACTGAAGCGTGTAATAAATACTATAGTATCGGTCGATCAGTCGGGTTTTATGAAAGGAAGGTCAGCTACTGAAAACGTACGTCTTATACAAGATATAATAGACTATTGTGAGTCAGAACATGTTCCGGGTATTATTATGTTTATCGATTTCAAACAAGCTTTTGACAATGTTAATCATTCTTTTCTTTTTAAAACGTTGGAAATATTTGGGTTCAAAGATACATATATAAAATGGATTCGCACACTATATCACAATGCATGTGGTAGTGTTATGAATTATGGATGGCTCTCAGAAAATTTCACAATTGAGAAAGGTGTAAGGCAAGGATGCCCACTATCAGCATTGTTATTTATTATTACTGCAGAAATCTTAGCGTTAAAGGTGAATAAAAATAAAAATATTAAAGGTATACAAGTTCTAGATAAAAATCATGAAGGACTTGAAACAGAAATTAAAATTGCACAATATGCAGACGACACGGTAATGACACTCAGTTCACTTGCGTCAGTGAGACATGCAATGGACGAAATAAAAAAAATTGGCAGATATGCTGGTATTTTGGTGAATTGGGATAAATCGAAAATAATGCAGCTTTCACAAAGATGTGATGCAAATGAAATTGAAGGATTGGCTTTTTCAAACGATCCATTTAAATTTCTTGGGATTTATGTAGGGATGAATATAAAAGAAGTAGAAACACTAAATTGGGAAGGAAAAATTGACAAGATTAAAAGAATTTTGGATTTGTGGAAAATGCGTCATCTGACGTACTACGGGAAAATCACAGTTATAAAGATGCTAGCTGCATCACAAATAGTATATGTGGCTACTGCTGTTCCAGCACCCAAAGATGCCATCAAAAGAATTAATAAGTTATTATACTCCTTTTTGTGGCGCTCAAAAACAGAAAAAATAAGAAGAAATATTTGTATTAATGATGTTACAAGTGGGGGGTTGGGAATGATTGCTCTGGAAGCTAGAGTTAGTGCATTGCGTCTTTCATGGATAATGAAATATTTGAACTGTCAAAATACCTCATGGAAAACATTGTTTTCCTATTGGATTGACAAGGTTGGGGGAATACCCTTAAGTTTAGAATTTAACTGTCACAAGAAAGACATGGAAAAATTATGTAAAACAGCAAATTTGCCATATTTTTACTTTGATTTGCTTTGTACATGGTCTGAACTAAAATATGTAAATATTGAGGGGACGAATAACATAATGAGAACGATACTATGGAATAATAGTAATATTAAAATAAGGAACCGAATGCTTCATTTTAAGGTGTGGGAGAGAGGAGGAATAAAAAGAGTACACCATGTTCTTAATGACGGTCGATGGAAAAACTCTGAC